AAGTGGATCCTGATTTACAGTTAAAAGTAACTGAAATAATACCAGACATAAAGAAAACTCTCTTAAACAGGTCTATCTTCTTAAGGCTCACCTCTCTTAAACAGGCCTAAATTTAAAATTTTATAACTTAAATTTTGATACTTAAAATGGTAACCAATTTTTAATCTAATTTTTTATCTATTTAATACAAATAGCCAATAGTTTGTGCAAATGGCAAAAATGTTTTGAAATATTTTTATCGAGAAATTTAAAAATAATCATTGTAAAATGTAATGGGGGTACTAAAGTTTTTCAATTTTTGTTTAAATGGTACGTGTTAGTCAAAATGTTGAGAACTGCTGTGCTAGACCATCTGATATCTGAAATGTTACTTTTCAAAACAGACCACTGATTGGTTGAGGTGGAACAAAAATTAAATAGCCCTTCAACAGTTAAGAAAAAAATATATACGAGGGCTATCCAGAAAGTAGATTACGTTTTGGAATAAAAAATAAACAAAGTATAGGAAACAAATTTTATTATATACAGATGAAAGCCACACTCAAATACTACTTTTCTACATAGTCACCATACAAATTAAGGCATTTATCGTAGCAATGTACGAGCTTGGAAATTCCTTCGTCGAAAAATTTGGCCGCCTGCGCCTTCAACCACTTCGTTACCTCTTCTTGCAGCTGTGCGTCGCCATCAAACGCTGCATAGCCAGCCACTTCTTCATTGCTGGGAATAGGTGGAAGTCGCTCGGTGCCAGGTCGGGACTGTACGGCGGATGAGGAAAACAACTCCCACTTAAAAGATTCAAGAACTTTACGAGTGACATTTGCCGTGTGGGGCCGGGCGTTGTCGTGAATCAACAAGATCTTAGAGCTCAACATTCCTCTGCGCTTGTTTTGAATTGCTCTTCTGAGTTTTTTGGAGAGTTTGGCAGTACCTTTGAGAGTTTATTGTAGTGCCTCTTTCCAGGAAGTCCACCAAAATTACACCTTTTTCTGTCCCCAAAAACAGTCGCCATCATCTTCCTTGCCGACATTGTTTGCATGCATTTCTTGGGTTTTTGGGGAGAACTTGTGTGCCCCCACTGCATGATTGCAATTTCGTTTCACAGTTCACATGTTTCACCCATGTTTCGTCACCAGTAACGATGCGATCGAGTAAAGAGTCACCATCCTTATGGTAAGCGTCCAAAAAGTTCAACGCTGCAGCCATTCGCTGATTTTTGTGGTCCTCTGTCAAGAATTTTGGAATCCATCTTGCACAAAAACTTGTGGTAACCAAGCTTTTCGCTGATGATTTCGTGCAACAAACTTCGCGAAATTTTGTGGAAAACTCAAAGAAAGTTCCGTTATTGTGAAATTTCGATTTTCACGGACTTTAGCATCGACTTTTTCGAGAAGTTCGGCGCGGTCACTATGCTGGGTCTCCCACTTCGATCTTCGTCGTGAACATTGGTTCGGCCATTTTGAAATCTTATGACCCACTGACGCACTCCACCTTCAGTGATAATGTTGTCCCCATACACTTCACGAAAGCTGCCGATAGATTTCTATCGGTTTACAGTTTTTGCAGTCAGAAACCTTATTATTGAGCGCACCTCGCAGCTCGCGGGATTTTCAATTAACGCAGACATTTCAAACCGTCACAGTATCTGAACGGAGCACAGCACGAACCTCTCACTAGCACGGCTAGATGCAGACTGAGCTGCGCAACGCTCTGACCCCAAGATGGCCGCGCTAGCCCCGCCCCTAGCGGACACAGACGGAAACGTAATCTACTTCCTGGATGGCCCTCGTAATATAATAATAATATATAACCATAATTTTCTAAAGTTTTCAGTAAAAAGGTTGTTTACCTGTTGTGTCAGTTACAGGATGGAGTGTTAAGAAATGTTCTTCAACACTAAATTCTGTTTTTTTAATTAATGTATCTTATGCAAACAGAAATTTGCTCCTGATGGCTCACATCAGAAGTACATTCAAGTTTATAGCAAAATGCTTTGCTTTTTTAACTTCATTTAAAGTATTAGTTCTTATATTATCACCCATTAATTTAATTGTTGGTTTTTGAATTTTTTGTCCAAGATAAAGTGGCATCATATATATATATATATATATACTTTTATCTGTTAATGTATATAGACATGACTGGATCAAATTTTGGCTGTCATGTCTGTAAATTAAAAAAAAAAAAAAAAAAAAAAAATTGTCATTATTTCTTTTAAATAATTTGTTACTAGGGCCATGAAAAAGCAAGTTTTGTTCACCCAAAACTTGAATTGTATAAGTTATTTTTTCAGTGACACTGCACCTGTGTTAATTTCACTTTTTAATAAATTTTTGCATTTTGGAATCTGTGGTTCGATTAGTTTTTTATCTTTTTAATATATATGACCAGAAATGTAAATTTTGAAAATGAAATTTACTTTTTCATGAATATCAAATACTCTTAAGTAATGCCAGTCTTTGAAACCGTCTTGGTTACTTAATTTAGTGTTTCTACAGGTCAATGGGTTATTTATGCCGTTGAATATTTTACAGCAGAAATAGAAAACTACATTTTCTTAATATAGTAACCAATATCTCTGAAACTTTTCACCATTTGACAAAATTTAAGTGAAATATATATTAAAAAAAACTCATGTCCACTTTTGTCTTTAAGATACATATTTTTATTTTGATAATGCATATGACATTTTTCAACTAGTTCTTGCACCTTGGTTGGGAATAATATACACAGCCAAAGACCTGGATCGTTAGAAAGGGGCAAATACACATATTTTGGTTGATTCATCTTGCTCGTTCAAAATGATGTTAACCATTGAAACGTATCAGAACCGGAATCTATCGGATCTTTCCTAATTCAAATAGCAACTCTGATGTTGATGGAAATGGAAAACCATTTTTACTGTCTTGAAAATGTGTGAGCTTCCGAAAAAGTTGGTAACTTTTAAATTGCTCTTCTCAAGTCATCCTCCCGTTTTCACTTTTTAACTAAGTTTTGATAACCAGGCAGTTTTCTTATTACTTCTCAGGCCATCTGAGTAAAACCACTAAAAGTTAGAAAAATCTTAAGTTTTATTTGTTTTATATAAAAAAAATATTAAAGAAAACTCAAAATTTTAAGTTTTATAATTACTGTTATGCCAAATTCCATTAAGTATTTATTGACATTAGGTAAACTGAATGTATAGTTAAAACTATGTAAGTATTTTTAAAGTTGAATAAAGAGTAATTATAATTATTATTTAATTCTGAATTTGCTTAAATTCAACTCACCTTATTTTTAATTATTTTTCACAATCACTATATTAGCAAATCAGGACTTATGAATACATATATTGGTATGCCCATACAGCTGATATACTCATGACAGCAACGAAAAATTAATAAACCTGCACTGACCATGAAAGCATATAAATAAACCTAAAATTTTACAAGTTTAAACATGAAAACATTTGGCCAAACAGCAAACAATGTACCTACTACTAGAGTCCCTAGAGTAATATCAGTACAATTTTCACCACCACTTGGTGAGCATAGGCACCATGCATAAAATAAGCTTAAATATACACTCACGTCCAAAATTATGTTTACATGCATAAATTCATGGATTTCTCAGAGACTATGACTTATAATTTAATGAATTTTCGTGGAATCATACAGGTCTTGGTGCTATTGTGTGCCGCACGATCTTGCCCATATGCACGTGTCCATGCTGTTGGTGGCAATATGTGTGTTTTAATAGTATAACGATTTTTATTATGGCATTACAAACGTTTCATTTTTTAGGAGGGGAGGGGATGGGATTTGCTAAATTCTAAACTAGTCTGGGTACTTGAGCTTCCCAGTCGGTTAAATGCTGGATAATCAGGCTTTTACTGTTCCATTGAAAGTCTGTTTAACTCATGCTCAGCCATGTAACAGCTACTATTATTACCAGAAGCAGATGCTTAGGGCCTTGTTTCTCAATCTTTTTAAAGTCAGGGAACACTGTTTTTTTCCTCTGGACCATTAATAATACAGCATACACTTTAAAGCAGGCAATCCTTTTTGAAATCAAGGGTGCAATCGAGGAAAAGGACATTCCTCCCAAAAATAACTTCATTATCGAAGAAGGAGGAAAACAGAATCATGTCATGGGCACATCATGGTCATCCCTGCTTTTAAGTATTACTTAAAATACCGATAGTGATTGATGCAAACATATTTATTTAAAATTATTACTTTATTTTTGGTAAAATGTATTATTTTTTAATGGAATTGTTTTAGTAACTGAAATATTCATCAATTTATATTATATAATTGAAGAATGGCATTGGAAAAGATAGATTTGTTGCAGCCACGAAAGAAATCTAGTAGAATTTTGAAAATACAAAGCGGAATTTATATTTTATTTTGAGTTAACTAAAAACAAACCGATAAATGCAACATTAAAAACAAAGAAATTTTTAGTAGTTTCCTATGCTTGTGCCACAGGGCAATGTAAACCTGATTTAAACTACCAGATCAAAATATATACTATATTTAGAAGGTTATATTATTAACTTGAATCATACTTCTGACTTTTTTGGTCTTTTAATTTTGTGAAATTTTCATACTTTGTTTAGCATTAATCAGCTTAACTTGTAAGAGGTGTGTTGTAAGTAAAATAATATGTCGCCTTATTAAAAAAAAAAAAAAAAAAAAAAAAAAAAAAATCTTGCTATCCTAACCTCTTTGAACCTGATTGTCATATGTGAAGTAAAGTGAAATGTAAAATCCATTTTGGTACTATATTGTATAAACATACATCAGAGGATTTCAGTTTCGAATTTCAGTCTCTCCTCTCCCCTAAAAAAATTCTTAGCATAATATATTTACATGTTAACTTAAAAAAATAAATAAATAAATAAATAAATAAATAAATAAATTAAAAAAAGTTTGCATTATTTTTTAAATGTATAATTGTATCAAATTTCTAATTCTCTTATTATTAGCCATTGTCTTTTATTTCTTTATTCATAGATGGTTATCAAGTGGATCATTGTTTTAGTCAGCCATGCCATAAGTACAGTAAATGCGTCTCTCTGCCAGATAGCTATGAATGTGTTTGTACTGCAAGATATACGGGACAAAACTGTGATATAGATTTAGGTAATTCTTGTAAAAAAATTTTTTATTTAACATTTTTTTTAATGAAAAGATTTTCTTCTGAAAAAAAAATGTATATTTTATGCACAACTTTAGTAGTATTTTAATGGAATTCTGTATAGAAAGTAATAAAAATAGTAGAGCAAAAATAATTTTTTTAATTTTTTGCTTATTAATAGAATTGCCAAATCAGTGTGTTTTAAAGGAATTCCTTTTCAACATAAAAAAGGACTTAATTGTGTATGAGAATTCTGTGAGATATGAGGTGTTTTTAAGCTTTTAAAATGTATCATATTTTGACTAACACAGTTTCTCAGAATTCTTTCTCGAGTTTTATTATCTTTTTGGAGTGTTTAATTTCAGCAAACTTTCTCCAGACTTCACTTCAAAGTACTTATATATTAATGTAACTATCCTTATAGTAATGACCACATTTTCAAAATGGGCCTAACTGTGGCAACCATGCATCTAACAACCCTTCCATTTAAATAAAAAGCATCACTGCATTCATATGCATTAGTCTGTTGTATTCTAAGTTTCAGTGGTTTTTCTAAAGAGATCATAATATTTTGTGATTTATTTAAAATAGTTTTTTAAAGTATGCATTTGTGGGATTTGTCTGCAGTGGCAGTAAGAAATTGTAGTAAAATTCATGCTGGAGTACAATATTTTGCTGCTTAAGAAGAGAATAATTGCTGTGCATATATTCTTAAAGTGATCCTGATGAAATTTCCAATTTTCAGGATAAATTAAAATTGATTTGAGCATTAAAAAAATGAATTAAAATGCAAAATATGCATGCATAAAATAAGCTTAAATATAGTATATGATTAGCAGATATTATTCTTTTCTTCTGTAAAAAAACCTGTCAAACTGCACTAAGCTGGTTTTGCTGATGTGTGTATGTACCCTGCTTCATCTCTTTGGAAAATGGAAATTTCTCTAGCTACTGCTGGAATAAGTTCTGGTACTTCATTGATTTATATTTTAAATCATAATTTATGAGAGCAATTGCAGCTTTCTGGTGTTGAAGAAATAATAGGAACTTATTAATAATATCTTTTCTTCTGGCTGCATCTTTCTGTTACATCTTGTGGAAGTAGTGTTACTTCAAGTGATAAAATAATTAACTTGCACGGTAGTGTAATAAAGAAATCAGAGTTGAATTGTTAATGTTTTATTACATTCTGTTTGAGATAAAATGAATATAGTGTCGCGCCAAAACAAAGATGACTGAAATAAGAAATATTATTTAAAATGTTGTTTGTCTATGTTCTTCATTTTTTAATGTAATATATTTATATCTGTAGGATACATGTACGGTAAGACCCCGCTTAACGCTGTTTCGTTTAGCGCTCTTTTATTTCAACCCAAGGATTCCACGAAATCGCTCGCAGCATACGGGGATTCCCCGAAATATTATGCAGCGATAGGTTTCAAATACATATCCGAAAGAGTGTACTTGTATTTCTTGTTTGGTGTGGTATTGTACAGACATATTTTGAAGGGGTAAATGTGGAAGATATCGAAGAAATAATTCAAGAAGCAGCGGCTAGTCTTTCTAATGATGAGCTCAAGGAATTAACTGAACAAGAAGAAAACAAAAATGTTGACAGCAGTGATTCAGAAGAAGAGCAAAAAGAACTTTCGATGGCGTTTGTAAAAAGGAGTTTGTCTACCATAACTGAAATAATGGATCAATTCATTGAAAATGATCCGAATTTTGACAGGAGCTCAAAAGTAAGGCGTGGTGTTAGAGATGCTCTATCCATTTATGAAGAACTTTTAAGAGAACAATGCAAAAGAAAAAGGCAAACAACATTAGATGCTTTTGTCACAAAAAGGCAGAACACTGAAAACGCGGAAGGCTAACTAAATATGACTGGCTTAGAATTTTATTACTTTTTTTAAGAATCTTCGTTTTGTTATTTATATTTTGTTTTTATTTTTGCAAGAAATAATAATGTGGTATTAATTTGGGCTTTAAGAAATAAATGTTTGGTTTTATTTTTATTAAAAAAACATACTTTTTAAATTTAATACCTAACCAATTTCCTAGCCATCTTCCCCTAACCCCAATATTTACATGTAAAGATAGCCTCGTTTAGCACTGTTTCGCATTATGCTCTACTTTGATGGAACGTATCCCCCGCATTAAGCGGGGTCTTACTGTATTGTTTAATAATTTATTTCTGATCATATAAACTTCTTTTTAGGTCCATTATGCAATAGACCCGAATACAATCGCTGCCAAAATGGAGGTGTATGCCAAGAAGATAAAGCTGGTAATTTTACTACTTGTGCTTGCCCACCAAAGTTTACTGGCACACATTGTGAAACTATGATTGACAATGCATTTTGTGACATTATGCCTTGCCGTAATGGTGGAACATGCAACATCAATCAGTACCAAGATAATTATGTCTGCACTTGTCCTCAAGGTATTTGTTTTAAAGTTCTTTTGTAATAATATGATATACTCATACTAATTCAGAAGTCAAACAACAAAAATCAGCATTATGTTTTCAAAATTTTCACAGGACTAGTTTCGATGGTTTTACCGAACCACCATCCTCAGCTGCAAAATCACAAATGAACAAGATAGGAAATAATGATTAGATAAGATAAGAAAGCCTGGACAAGAATAAGCAAGTGGCGCCATCTGTTGGTGAAACCAGAACTAAAACATAATTCTTTAAAGGCCAAAGGCAAAGATGGATTGGAATCAGCATCGTTAAATAGAACAAAGATTTTTTTGAATGTTAAATGCCTCTAGAAAATCGAGTTCTCCAATGGAAGATGTTTTTTGAATAATTTTGGCAGCAGTAAAATTGAAAGTGTGATTTTCGGACCAATAATGTTGAGCAACAGAAGACTTCTGTGTTTCCTTTTTTCTAACATATGCCTCATGTTCCTTGATGCGAAAAAACTAAGAGTTCCTTAAAGCTCTCTTAGTTTGGCCAGTGTAAATTAACCACACTGGCAAGGAATCCTATAAATACCCCAGGAATTCGTATCCAGAATGGGGTCCTTGAGTATGGAACTCGGAATTTTATTGATGGGAGAATAAACAACCTGAAAGTTAAATTTCTGCAAAATATGTGCAACTTTATAGCTAATTGATGGAAAGAAGGGAATGACAACAGAATTTTTATAATCTCCTAAAACAAGAGTGTGCCTTTTAGTGTGTTGAAATGAGAATTTTTTAACTGCTTGATTAATAATGTTGGGTGAAAAGCCCCTGTCAATAGCTATTGCTTTTAAATAATTTAGTTCTTCATCAAGCGATACTTTGGAGAAGATAATGCATTGCCATATTATATAAATATTATATAAGGCATATAATATGGAACTGACAGTTATCACATTTGCATTATACAAGACATTTCATATATCTGTGTAACTTATATTTTGCTTAGTAAGTAATATGGTGGTGGAACTCCTTTTGAAATAAACATAACTGTGCATATAATATTTATGACTTTCAAATTTTATAAGCTAAAACTCTTTGAATTCCATTCGAGTTATGTCGTTTTCATCTGGGAGTCTGTTCATATTTTATTTTGCATTTTAATAGCATGATCAAAGGAAGTACACCTGAAATGATGATAAAGAATATTACTTCACAGTTAAAATGTAGAAACAGTCTTGGATAGTATTTATTTTAAATGCAAAAAATTTATGTTGTTGAATCATTTTGAAACTATTCTTAGAGATATATTTTTTTAATAGAACTGGAAGAAGAATTATCTACATATCATAATTCAAATTAATTTGGATGAAACCATTTTGAATAACCCAATATTTTTGCAGTTGAAGTTAGAAAAAATCAATGATCGTGTTTCAAATCCTTTTTGAAGAATGGAATGTGCATTGTTTCCTACATTTCTTCGTAGTCACTTTATTTATGTCAACAAATTGGTGTCCCTGTAGATTGTTGGACCCTGAATAAGTAAAAATTTGAAGATGTAAAATCAGATCTGTATAATGGATCAGAATCTACTATCCAGCACAGTTTGCTAATCATGTAAATTGTTGATGAAACTAGATTGTGCGTTATCATGGTAAATGTGGATAATGTTCAGCTGTTGGTTGGTGTCTTTTTCCACATAAATTCTCAAAGCTTTTTAAATGTTTGAATGTACTTCTTTCTGGTCACTATGCAGCAGTATGGTCATATTCCAAAAATACTGAGAATGATGTTCCTCCTCATCCTAAAAGTAGCCATCATGAACTCTTTTAGTGACCTTTTAAATATTTTTGGGCCTTGCAAAGTAAGAGTAATACCATTCCTTAGATTGATTCTTCATCTTTGGATTATAAAGGTACCCCCATTTTTTAGCTTACATGACAAAATTGGAAGATACACATCTTCACTGTCTCCAAAAGCTTCCAGTAGATTAGGATAAATGACTGCACTTTTCTCTTTCATGTCAGTTGTCAATGATTGAGGCACTCATCTATGCATATAAAGAAGAATGTCTGTGTGTTTGTCTGTCTGTTTGTTTGTTTGCAATTAACTCGGTCACTGCTCTAGCTATCATCACCGAACATTCTACAATTCGTTTTTGGTCCTGAGAAAGGTCGACGTCCACTTTTTTCCAAAAGCAAATAGCTAAAATCAGAGATATTAATTAGAAACTCTGAAAACTCTAATTTTCGCTCTCATTTTTCCTAATGGAAACAGTCTCGCATGCTGGAGATAAAAATCTGCTTTATTTCGATAAGTGTTGCCACTGCTCGCTTTCAAATCATATAGTTTATTAATAAAAATTTTGATGTTTTACAATGAAATAAAAATAGCATTATCAAAAGTTAAATAAATTATTTCCGATTCCAAAAATTCATTGGAAGCTATTTCAACTATTCCCATCTTCATACGACTTTAATCAGCCGAGGTGTTAATTAAAAACTGTTGAAAACTCTAATTTTCATACTCATTTTTCCAAGTGGCAAGTCTCCTGCATTGAAGATAAATATGCTTTATTTTGAAAAGTGTTGCTATTGCTCACTTTCAAATCATAGAGTCTGTTAATAAAAAATTATTAAGTTTTACGAAATCTATATGTATATAGAAGAATGTCTGTTTGTTGCCGTTATTGATTTCTGATCAATTATGGTAAAGGTTTTGCCACATTTAATCAGCTAAAATTGAATATATTTGAAATATTGGATGGAACTCAAGCTTTTATGACCATTTGATGAGAAAGACAAAAATCATTAAAAACTGTATGTAATTGTTGCTGATATAATGAGAGAGAATTAGTTTATTTTTTTGTCAAAATTTTTTATGTCAGGTCCATATTGCATCAGACTGAAAAATGTATGACTATGAATCTTATTTTTTTTATTGTTATTAGAGATGAATTACAGCAGTATCATTCTCTCTATTAGATACATTACTCTCAATCTAACTTAACTGGCATTGGGTACTTCTGCTAGTTTTATAATAAACTAAGTTTTCCACCATCTTCTGTGTGAACACAGTTTCAAAGCTTATAGATTGTGTGGCATGAATCGACTGTCATTTTTTTAAGAGTAGTGTCACTAGTTCCATTGATTTGTCTTCATTGCTAATTTCTTCATCCTATCTGTGTATCTAATTCTTATCTGTCATGTCATCTCTGGAAACATTCTATTTTTTTCTGTATATGTTGAAGAAGCCTGAATTTTTCTTTTGTCAAGGACTGAATATCTGACATGCTGTTTATACTTCATGCCAGCTATTTACTTACAATAAGAAAATTATTATATGCCTATATAAAGGAAGAACTGCTATAATAATATGTTGAATTCCCCCCCCCTTTTATCTTATTGATGTGTGTGAATGCCATTTACACATATTGTGTTCTGATTTTATAAATTTCATATTTTTATGAAAATTCTTAATGTAAAAGTATTTTTATGTCATATCCATAGATTTATGCAAGATTATACTTACTTCATCATATTTTGTTTAACTGTCTTCCCTTATATCACATATTCTCTTCATTTTAGGTTTTGCAGGTGTGGACTGCGAGTTAAATATTGATGAGTGTCAGTCTTCACCTTGCCAGAATAATGGTTCTTGTACTGATGAAATAAATTCTTATTCATGTGATTGTGCTGGTACTGGTAAGTTAAAATAACATGTTTGATAATTTTTTCAAATAAATTATGATTGTTTGTCATGCGAAATTTATATGTATAAAGACAAAATTAGTACAATTGAATAATAATTTATTCAATTAATTAACTGTACATTTTGTTAATTTCTTTAATATGAAAATGAGTAGAATTTTCCCTACTAGTGCATGTTAATGACTATATTCATACAATGCATGCACTTATTAATATATCAAATTTTAATTGGAAATCATTTAAAGATATTTTAAATTAATGTTGCTGGTCTTCAATATTGTGTAATATTAAATAAATTTGCTAGACTTCCCTTTCTCTTAGTCAAAGCTTGGATTTGAAGTTGCTTTAGAGTGAGGAAAATAATACATAAAAATTTTTAAAACCATATGTGAAAAAAATATTTTAACTTACAATAGTAATTTTTTTGTGTAGATTGAAAATTAGTCAATATCCTTGCAAGGATATTTTGTCATGAATATCTGCAAAACGTGTCTAGTTATCTGGTGTAGTGTTTTGTGAACTTGGTTTGCCACATTTGTTTTTCATGATTTTCAACTAATACAGCAAAAATTTTGTGTCAGTATATCTTTGTTTCTTTGAACTTTTCTTTCAATATACTGTCATGAGAATTGGTACTTTTATTTAATTGTTACTGAACATTATTTTATAAATTTTAATGGTCTGAGTTGCCATTTTATGGCATTAGGTCAATCATATAATGGCTGTAGTCTGCATACATGTATGCTTTAGTTTCGTTGTTCTGTTACAGCTGAAAGTGTTTTATTATTTTGAACACTTCCTTTAAATTTTGTTTTAAAACTATTCAAATTTGTATTTGAATGAAACAATTTTAATTATTGCCCAAATGCAATATGAAAGGCACAGTTGTATTTTACAATGGTATAAAAATTCTCTTGGTTGAATTTCAGCATTTTCATTTGTACAAATTTTTTAACACTTTGTGGAACCAAAATGTTAAATTTTGTTATTTTATTTTCAAAAAAATTATTGGTTTATTTTCGGAGTGGCAAGGCTTATATATATTAGGCCTAACTTTCTCTTTCTTTTTTTATTTATTTATTTATTTTTGGTGTGTCTGTGTGTGTGTGTGGCCATGATCGATGTGCTTGATAGTTATGAAAAAATTGTGCTGGATGCCTTAGATAGTAATCTCAGTATCAGCATACATGCTGTTGCCTCTGCCTTAAGAGTGCCTCATTGTATTGTACAGCATGTTTTAAATACGAAGTCCTTACATGCCTTTCATTTGCAAAGGATTCAGTTACTGCTTTCCAATGATTATCTTGCCTGTATGTGTTTAGCACAGTAATATCTGCAACAAAGTGTTTGAGATGTGAATTTCCGAGCTTAAACCCACACAGTGTGCAACACCACACACATAACATCATTTTGCAGCAAATGTACGGGTAGGTTTGGTCAGCGATTGCTTTATTCGGCCATATCTGTTGCTATCCAGCATGACCACCACAAATTATTGGATCTTTTTGGAGCAGACTCTTTCCACCTTACTTGATGATGTTCCAGCAAATGTAAGGTGCAACATGTGGTTCCAGCATGATGGGGCACCTCCTGATTGTGGACTGGCTGTTTGTAGGCATTTGAACAGGTCATTCACATATCAATGGATTGGGCATTGTGAACAAGTTTCCTGGCCCCCATACTCACCTGGTGTATCAAGCCTTGATCTTTTTCTTTGGGAAGCCTTCAAAGCTATTGTGTATCATGAGTGTAGATTCTGAAATGGATCTTGGGGCAAGACTCATCTACACTGCTGCTACAATCAAAGAAACTACCCAGTGTGTTCGACCATTTCCAGAAATCAGTATTTCATCAGTATCGAGCATGCTTGTTGTCTGATGGTGCAAACTTCAAGCATTTGTTGTAACCTTACAGCTGTATTCAACTCTTATGTCATTTATACTCATGATATCCAATAAATGTTTTAAATTAATCACTCTCTTATGTTCTTTCCAATCTTCTACTTCTGCTGTCGCTTATCCCTAATGCTTCCGGTCATGGGGTGCTACGCAATTCTCAATCCTTATGATGTGCCCTATCTCCCCTAAAAGTTTGTCACTGTATTTTTGAGGTACCTTATAATACATGCATCTTGAAATAGGTCCAAGAAATTAAAGCAATATATTAAAATTTGGTACATAAATCCTGGTATAAAGTACCAGAGGCATTTTGTAATTAAAAGGAAGAAAAGACCTCTTCTTTCATGGATGTTTTGGGAAGTTTCTGCTTTAGTCAAACCGTGTGCTAATAAGAGAGTTAAAAATATTATTTCACTTTGCAACTCTTAGCAGACTTCATTCTTGCTTTATGGTTTACCTTAACTATGTAAGTCATTTTTATACCAACTCAGTTTTGAAACTTATGCTTCCTCAAAACATTCCTTATTAATTATCAGTTTTGAACACTTGATTTTTTTATTTCAGTTGTAAGACCTAGTTTTACTCTGTCACCCCTACCCCCCCAAAAAAATAGTTGGATTTTTCATTACCAACCATATTTTCTTTATGTGAAGTATAAATGCGTGTCCATCTAGCGTTACTTTCCAAAAATCAAATTTTAAAACATTTTAAAAGTATTCTAAACCATGTGAATTTTTTAATTTATTATATTCCATTGATTCCTTGTAAATCAATACTTTGCTTCAAGAATCTTTTTCTAGACTGCTTTCAGTCATGCATGACTCCTTACATAAACTTTTGAATTGAAATGAACATTTTGGTTTTGTTGTCTAAAATATTTGATTTAAACATTAGAATTTTAAAATATTGTTTGATCTGCAATAAGCTTCCACAACTTTCCTTTTCGAATATCAGAATAATTCTAGTCATAATTTTATTTTTTTAGAAGGATGAAATGAAATAATAATATAAATATTCAGTAAATCTACAGTTTTACACTTTAATTGCTTACAAACTAGAAAATAATATAAATCTCTAAGTTAGTACATGTCTCATACACCAAAACTATTGCACCTACATTTCATGTTTTTTGTTGCACAGTATCTTAAATATATTTTGGTGCAGTTTATTTTCCTATGGTGTAGGAAATTCTGTTCTCTAACCGAATTTTCCTGTTGATTTCATTTTGGATTGAAAAGATGATTTAGGGCAAAATTAAACTATCGTTTCTATTGAAATTTCTTACAATTTCCTTATTTTTTAGGTTTTCATGAGCTAGTTTAAACTAACAATTTTGTTCTTTCATCAGATTCCTTTTAATTTAACTGAAATTTAAGTTCAGAAAAAGCTGACACATATTGTTTAAATGATCATACATGTCATTCATGTTCTGTGATTCTACTGTTCTTCTTTTTAACTCTGTAATGTAATACGCTTTCTCTTAATTGCTAGAAAATAATCTGTTGTTTTACTAGACATGTACTTCATAAATGTATAGCATATATGTTTTATAAATAATAAGAATGCAGAATTGAATTGCTTTTTTTAAACTTATTTTCAGTGTTTTTTGTTTTATGTGTCACATTATGTACATGTACTTAAATTATATTTGAAATTTACTAACTTGTATACTTATCAGGTTACCGAGGTCCAAATTGTGAAGAAAATATTAATGAATGTGAAGAAAACAATCCTTGTTATACTGGTAGTCGCTGTTTTGATCGTTATGGTGACTACATCTGTGATTGTCCACCGGGATTTGGAGGGAAGAACTGTGATCAAGAAGTCAATGAATGTGATTCCAATCCTTGTCAGAACATGGGGACATGCATTGACAATGTTAATGGCTACCTATGCCATTGCATAACTGGTTTTGCTGGCATCAATTGTGAAGAGAATATTGATGAGTGCAGTGGGATTGCATGTCCAGCCAATAGCCATTGTATGGATGGTATCAATTCATATTCATGTGTTTGTAATCCTGGATATTCAGGTTAGTGTAATTCTTCAGAATTTTTTTTCATTTGTGTTACTTTTTATGGCATCATTTGAGTTCAGATTGAAGGGTGTGTGACTGTTTTGAAGTAATTTTGCTACAGGGAATAGCTAAACAGAAAGAAAATTAGCAAGTTTTAATATCAGTCATTAAAGGTCTAAATTTATCAAAAGAAAAAATAATTATATTTGTCTAAAATCGAATATTTTATGTAAAAAAAAAATGGTTTTACATTCAATGGAGTAGCAAGCATAACTTACACCTGGGGCAAAATACCTTTTTGATACATTGATACACAGTGATATGATAAAAATCTTGTTTGGAAACAATTTGGCACCACTCTGCGAGCAGCACCTATGGCATGTTTTATAAATAATAAGAATGCAGAATTGAATTGCTTTTTTTTTAAAACTTATTTTCAGTGTTTTTTTTTATGTGTCGCAATATGTACGTGTACTTAAATTATATTTGAAATTTGCTAACGTGTATATTTATCAGATTACTGAGGTCCAAATTGTGAAGAAAATATTAATAAATGTGAAGAAAACAATCCTTTTATACTGATAGTCACTGTACACCCCCTTGCCCCCCTCGCTATGCCACTGTTTACATTAAACTGCTTAAATTTCATTTTGTAAAGTATTTAAATGAATTATTTGACACAGATAAATACATTTTACATAATTATATAAGCTTTTCTGAGAATTAAAGATAATTATGTACGTCAACCTATGTGGATGTAGTTAGGCTTTCCATAGGCTATATTTTTGTGATTGCTGTGTTGATTGTTCCAAACTGTGTTGAAGAACATACATTGCTTCAAATTTTTACAAAGTCAGAATTTTAACCACTTCTACCGTACATTCTGCACCAGACTAGTGAAAAAAACTTATTTTTATTGTTTTTATGAAAATGCAATGCCAAAATAAAAAGTAGCTAATAAAACCTTTTCAGAATTATAGAATAAAATAGGCAAGCAGTACTTATTCATACTTATAATCATGTATGAGAATTGTAAAAGAAAAGAAATTTGTAATAAATGATTAAATGAATAAAAGAGCCTTGCTTTTAATTCAAATAAAAACTGTCTTTTTTTTTCCTGCATGTTAAAATTTAATGAGTTTGATTTTGATAGCTTTTTTGTGTTTGAAAATGTAAATAAATTTTTAATTCCTTTTATTTGCTTTTCATCATTGCATCATCATCTTTAGTTTTTAATATTGTATGTGAAATGTAGGAAGGAGTCTGACAGAACTGACATTATTATTTTATAGCTCAAATTTAAAACGTTTCCATTTGCTCCTAATTTATTCTCTGTGCTCTGTTAAGATGAAGATTTCTTAGAAATCAATTCATAATTTGATTTTTAAATATATTTGCCAAGTATGTGTATTGAAATTTTCACAGTTTTCATCATAGCTTCGAACTGCTTTTGTTTTTATAATAAGCTGCTCTTGGAAGTAAATCATACGAATAATGCTTTAACTTACTTTAAAAAAAAATTTTTTTTTTAAAAACTGTTTTAGAAGTTTGGACCAGAAAGAAACACTTTGTAGTCATATTGTTCATGCTATCTTATTTTTAAAAATGACAACTTTAAATCTACTATGGTCATTTGAAATGTAGTTATGAATGGAATCCATGTTAGAATGTCGCTGTGCATTCTTCTCCCCCCCCCATGAAATTTCTTATCATTTTATATTATGCTTAACGACATTTGAGTTTTTATTAAATAATGCTTTATTTTTGCCCACATGCATTCATATAGTCAGAGAATATATTTTTAAGCAAAGTACAGTTGCATAAAAATTAATTTATTTTGTTTAATCGAGTAATTAAAAAGTACAAAAACAGTAAAATCCGCTCAAGATGTTCTCAGTTAAGATATGGAGTTTGTGATTAAGGTAAACTTAATTTACTGCTTAGTCTCACATACAGGTTTAATCTTTCAGGTGCTGTTCCTCATTGTCAAGAAATTGATGAATGTGCTGGGAGTCCCTGCCTTAATAATGGAACATGTGAAGATCAGCTGAATGGGTTTTTATGTAACTGCAAAAAGGGATTTCTTGGAAAACACTGTGAAATCAATATTGATGAATGTGAATCAAACCCATGTCGGAATGGTGCCACGTAAATATTTGTTTTCTTTATGAAAAATTTTTGTAATTTTTATGTTTAGAATTTTTGCTATTAAATATTAGGTCATTTATTAAATCCCAAGTAAATAATACTTTATTTTTGTGCAGATGCATTGATGGAGCTGGGCAATATATTTGCGAGTGTGTGATTGGCTACACTGGGACCAATTGTGAAATAGATATTAATGATTGTGAACCAAATCCTTGTAAAAATAACGCTAAGTGCACAGATTTGGTAAGAAAAATTATAGTTATTTTAGATATTTAGAATTTACTAATTTCTTCACAATGAATCTTTCTTTTCTTTTTTAATGTATACTACTGCTTAAGGGCAGATCTCAATTTGCAAGGTAGTATAACGTAGGGTTGGAGCCTAAGCAGAATAAAATTGTATTGTCACACTGTACATACGATAGAATAAATTACATTTATTATTAAGAAAAATACAGAAGTTTTGAAACATCCAACAGAAAAAAAAAAAAAATACTTTTTTGATGCTATTTATGCATCTGAACGGCAGCAGAAACCTTTGAGAAAGGTGTAAGTACGGAATTTGTCTACCATGGGTTGCAATGCAACTTTCCACTAATCATACATATTTTTCACAACATTATCCAGCAGCTTTATGGGGCAATTGGTCCCATTTATCTATCATCGCTCAGATGAGGATGTTCTTGTTCATTGGGAGATATTTTTGACAAATTTTCATTGCGATTTAAATCTAGAAATTATGCTGGCCATAAAAGGCATGGAATATTTTTGCTGTCTGATCAATCCTGAACAATGAGTGTTCAGTGGCATGGTGCATTGTAGTCATACAAAGAGATTTGTCACTGAAAGTACCACGAAAGAGGTGAATATGAGGCTACTGAACTTCGATGTATTGTTAGCCAGTCATAGTTTCAAATGTAATCATATGTAGGGACATGCGGCCAGTGAACATGATGCCAAGCCATACCATGGTACTCAGATATCAGTTCATTTCCTGGATATTTTCTGGACAATAAGTGATATCACTAGCATGCCAGATCAGTTGCCGTCTACAATCCAATGCCAGACTGACCCTCTCTCATCTGAAAATAGCACAAAAGCCCAGTCTTGTTCAATCCAGCTGTGATGCTCTTGACACCATTGCAGACAGGTGATATATTGCTGTCTGGACAATGTGACATATACAACAGGTCTGTGAGCGCATAGTACTCCTTCTGCGAAATATCCAGCTACATTTTTTTGGGGAAATCTGTGTCTTGTAACAGCAGAAAATCCATTCCACCCCTGAGCTGTGCGGCCCTGTTTTTCCCCTTTTTTGCCTATAGGACAACTTATCTGACACCTTGCAGCATCGTACATATAACATGACCTCCCACATGAGGCTGGCTACACATTCCAGTTGTTTTAAATACATTACACAACCGTGAAACAATTCTGTGGACAATGTTGAACTCTTTAGCAACATCTGCTATTTTTCAACTTTCTTCAATCTTTTCAGTGATCAGCCACAGTAAAATCATCTAAGTGATACCATGAATACATTCCAAAATTTTTAAGATCGACAATTAAATTTTTGCCGTAAAACTTGGTACAACAGCTGCCCAAATGTGTTAAATGCTCTAAGTGTTTTATCAGTGCTATTATGTGATAAACAGGTGAGGAAATGAAAATGTTCTGGCTGTCTTATTGATGGAGATTTATTTCAAATGGATATTGGTATGAAAGGTTGAAAATCATATTTTCTGAAAGGAGAGCCTGACATATAAACTGTATTATTTATAATAAAAAAAATTGCTAGCATAAAGGCCATTAAATAGGCTTTTTTAATCATTCCTTTTTAATAAATATACTATTTTCATGTTCTGAAAATACTTTCATTAACTAATTCAGATTGATTGGTTTAATAATATTTTTTTCATCATCTTTCCCTCTTCTCTAAAGTTCTTGAAAGTGTGATTGCTAAGTTTGTACCGATCTGAAAAATCCACATTATTTTTTTTTAAATCTCAAGCATCAGCATTTTTTATTGCATGGCTGTAGTATATTTATACTTCTCTATATCCCTAAATTAGCATGAAAAATAAAACTTTTAACTTTGAGTAATAAATTTCAATCTAAACAACCCTTAATGTCCGTCATTTTTTCCTTGAAATTTAATAGAAAGAACTCTTTATTTTGATATGCTTTAATTTAATTTTAATACTGATTTATTTTAATTTTATTTTCTGTGTGCATTTTGTTACTTTGATGAAAAGGATTGACTCATGATATATCCTATCATGAACTTCATGCATGGTTTCGTTGCCCAATTAGGTGAACGACTTCTTGTGTGACTGCCTTCCTGGCTGGGAAGGCAAGATGTGTGTTGAAAATATCAATGAATGTCTTTCCCAACCCTGCATGCATGGTCAATGTGTTGATTTCCTGAATAATTTTACATGTAGTTGTGATCCTGGATATGCGGGTAAGAGTGATAGCTTTAGCATTTTCCATTTTAACAAAGTAATATTTTAAATACAAAGCTGCTATTTTTGTGTTATATTTTCTTTCTTAATAATGAGTGAAAGGTCTGCCGTGTTAGGTTAATTGAAATTATTATGTCAAGTATATAGTAATTAAACTATAGTTTTTCTTTAGGAGTTGCTTTAATTCTCCTGAAATGTGTAAATATATATGCAGTTATTCAAATTAACCATTAAATTTTAATACATGAAATAAAATTTTATAAAAGGCAATTTTAGAAGTAAAATCTTCAGAATTTTTAGTTGTATGAGATTTATGAATTGTTAATATTTGGGTATTATTTCATCTCCAGTATGTACTACTTCTGCAGATAACAATCCACATATGTAAGTATCATGTAATAGGTGCTGTTATTTCAAAATAGTGATAATCTTCTAGTTAGTAGGAAATTAATTTGGAACTTTAAAAACTGTGTAAAAATTTACATTTAAAACATGAGCACTTGCAAACTGAATTCCAGATGTAAGTGAACATTTGATGATTTTTAAAATTAGTTTAATTTTTAATTATACATGGACTTGAAGCAAATACTTCTCTTTTCAAAAATATTAATGATTAATAATCACATGTAAAATAATTGAACAATGATTTTACTTTTAATATTGAGTCTTCTAAAATCTTTAGTTCAAATATACAAATTTGGAAATATATTTCTAAAACTTCAGAACACTGGATGATTTTGGGAAGTAGCTCTTATATTTCATTGCTGAATTTATTACTTGGCAAGGATTTGGTAATTGTGTATTTCTATAATCTACTGGTTACCTGAGGTGCTTCTAGAAAAGACGAGGGACGGCCTGAATTGTTGGGTCATATTGATTCTGAATGGACTTTTGTAGGATTAATTTTTTTTTATTTATTTAGCTTTAATAATAAAGAACATGCTCATAAAGTAAACCAGACAGTTTCTCGCAAGTAAAAGAACTGTTATTAATCTTCTGATAAATTTACCTTTTTCAAAGTAATTGTCAGAGGATTCTGTAATGTTTTTCCATTGTTTCCTCAGGTCATCGAAATAATGCTTATAGATGTTGGAACTAACCATTCTCAAAATACACATAATGTTTGATTTAATATCTAAGATGTTTTCAAATCTCTGTCCTTTCACAGCCGTCTTGAGCTTTGGAAAAGGAAAAAAAATCATCTGACAATAAGTCAGGAGAATATGATGAGGGATTTATCACTGCAGTTGAATGCTTAGCAAAATATTGTTGTACAGACAGTGCTGTGTGGAGTCTAGGAGGATCGTGTGAAAGAAACCATTGCCTAAAATCAAAAGGTTCTTTCCTAACTTGCCTTATCCTGTTTTGTAACCTAAAAACTACTTCCTTATTAATTGATTTTCAGATATAAATTCGTGATGAGTAAGTTCTTTGTAATCAAAAAAGTAATCAGCATCACTTTAGTCTTTGATTTTGACACCCGTGCTTCTTTTTATGGGGGGGGGGGATTGGTTCTTCTTATTTTGTACTTTGTCTTTTTGTTTCTGGTTAATATTGCAGACATTAGGTCTCATCTCCTGCTTTGATACATTTTAAGAAATTGAGTCTTACTTATCCTCTCTTGCAGTAGTCATTAAATCTTCATAGCAAACTTTTCTGTCTTCTTTTTGATGTTCTGTAAAAATTTGAGGCACCACAAACATTCCTCATTTTCAGATTTTCAACTAAAATTAAATTACAGCTTTCGCTGCTTATCCCAAGCATGTTTCAGAGATGCAAATTTGTTACATGTCTATCAGCTTTTACCAAAGAATTAACTTTTTGTACATTTTCCTCATTCCTCGGGCCTTGCGAGGTGTTGCGTTATCATGCAAAAAAATCACACCATCGTTCAATTTTTCCCATCACTTCTCTTTTAATTGCTTTACACAACTGTTCATAGTTTCATAATATGTATCCGAGTTGATTGTTGTTCCTTTCGGCGTAAATTCCACGTGCTGCACCAAACCCTTTATGTCAAACAACACTGTTGCCATCACCTTTCCTGCTGAAGGTTGAAACTTGGCATTCTTTCATTGTGGTTATGAGGTGTGCATCCATTCTATTGATGTTCTCTTCATTTCGAAGGTGAAGTGGTGGACCCACATTTCATCCCTTGTGTTGATTCACCTTAGAAGCTCGTTGCCCTCTGCAGAATACTGTTGCAAAAATGCGAATGAGGATTCGAAACGTTGTCCCTTGCGATTATCAGTGATAAGACGTGGGACCCATCTTTGAGACATTTTATGAAATCCAAGGTATGAAATCCAACAATGGAGAATATGCACAATTTGGAGTGAATATCCAGTTCATGCACCATTGATTTTAGCCCATTATTCACACACAGCAAGACGGGATATTGTCCCAACTTTCCTGTCGGACATTTGAGCAGTTAATGTCCCTTTCTCCACATTGCCCAAGATTACAACACACAGCGCACTCTTGCGGCGAGGTATTATAACTTAGTTTTTGATCTGCCTTCATAAAATAGCAAGTAGATGTTGTGATTCCTTAAATGATAAATTTAAGAATAAGACTCTTTTATTTTGTTCTTTGAAGATATTCAAGAGCGGTACCAGGCAAAAAGGCATATATTTTGTGATTATAAATATCCATTTGACCTCTATGAATCATTTATTACTCTGGAAAAGGGAATCTGTGTACAGATACTGTGAAATAAGGACAGCATTTTTATGTAATAATTCTTATCTTTAAGTACATGATTATGAAAAGATTATGCATCTTATGATTGACAGTTAGGATTCCATCTATGAGTGATTATTACTTGAGAAAAGAAAATTTACCTATGGTTCATGTGAAATAAGGAAAATAGTGTTCATTATAAAATTTGTACCATGAGGTATGTGATATTGAAAATATTAGATGTCTAGCTGTTGATAGTTAGGAATCCTTTGGAAGTAACATAGGTTGGTATCATGTTTGGCCTTCTATGATTGCTGTATATTCAACTGTAATTCTGAAAAGCTTACTCTTAAGTTTTCAGATTTTGACAAACATGTGGAAAGAAATTTTTATTGTTAATTTCAGAGACATTTGAACTGACGTACATACAAGAGATGAAACACATGAATAAGCAGGCAAGGTATATTGAAGTATGGAGGAATTCTCTAATTTTCATCATGGACTTATTCGTGTTCTGATGACATATTAAAAATAATACTTGAACTATAATTTTCATGTCTTAAAAAGTAATGCTTGAGGATTATAAGTTTTTAGATATATTATTATTTTTTTAACTATGTTGTGATTTTTTTCTGCTTAAGGATAATATATGCCGACAACTTTGTAATGTGATAACTGCAATATGCGCTAATATAAAGATATATGCACCAACATTGCCTGCCATTAAATTAAATGTATTCTTACCTCTTATAGTGGTATTATTGCTTTCTAAGGAAATATTTTTAATAAATATATTTTTAATACAAGTAGTTCTATTTTATTCTTTGTTTATTGAAATAAGAGAGATATTTTCTTGTGTTTAAACAAATTTTGCTGTAGTCAAATCAAGCCTAGAGATAATAATGTTTTCTTGCTGGTTGTATCAAGCTGGTACATATACCTTTCTAGAGGGAAAAAATTATGTGGTGTGTGCTGTCCTGTAACAGAAAAGATTTCTTTTTCCCCTTTTTTAAAATTTATTTTTTATTATTTAAATTTTACATCGAGATTTTAAATTTTTAGGTACTCTTTGTGATATCAATATCAATGAATGTGACTCAAGTCCTTGCTTTAATGGTGGAACTTGTACTGATCTTGTTAATGACTTTTCTTGTGAATGTCCAGAAAATTTCATGGGGAAAAGTTGCCTTGAAGTATATGATGCATGTCGCTCTATGCCTTGTACAAATGGTGGTACCTGTCAAACAAACATTCCTTCCCATGAATATCATTGTCTTTGTTTAAGTGGGTATTTGGGAAATCAATGCGAAATTGATGTTGATGACTGTGAAGGTATAGTTTGCCCACCAGGAAAAATTTGTGTGGATCAGCCGAATGCATATGAATGTCGGTAAGTTTTGTCTTTCTTATTTTATGATTATTAGTGCAATTAATATAAAAATCTTGTATGTAATAGTTCAGTAATCAGAGAAAATATGATGTATGGTTACATGTTTTATTTTCTTAAATTTGATCTTAAATACATTACTACATTCTCCAAATAAGATAAAAAATTTTATTAAATATTTTATACAAAAAATTTCTGTACTAGAAATAAAATGACATCTTGAATTATAAGATTTATCTTTTTATAAGGTCTTCACGGAAGAAAAAATATGGTTAGTAAATTATTCATTTTGCAAAAGTACAATTAAATGCAGTAATTTTTGTAAGTAATACAGTAATCAGATTTCTTGAAAATTTAACAAAATGATTGTGTTGGCTTGCACCAGTTTTCAGTGCACACATTTGATCAAAACTAGGTTTCCTTTAAAACAAACAAGCAAAAAATAACTAAATAAAATAATCTCTAAAATTTTCCTGAACTTAAAGCAACTATTGGAAAATAATAGCAGCTTATGTTCGGTAATTAAAGATTCAATATTGAGTAAATCAGCACTAGTTATTAATTTTGCTGCTGCCCTCAAGAAATTATTATTCATATCTGACAAAAAATGAAGCTTCTAATTAGCAAAATAAGCACTTCAACATTGTGTGCCCATGACCTTGAAGCCCTAAACATCACTATGTCCCTGAGCGCATATTGCAGTTAAGCCCAATTTGCAAAAATAATTCATATTAAACCTGCTTTTTATCTAAGCATTTGGATTCTGACATATATTTGATTGTTATTTCATATAACATACATAGAAAATTCTAGTACTTAAAATTCAGGATAAGTGCAATATTATTAAAAATGATTATATTCCCATATTTAAATTATTTCTGTACAGTGATAAAAAAAAAAATTAGTAATCAAAATATCAGTGCTTATTGTATCCTATTTCCATATTTACCTACAGATATTTTAAGCTGTTTGCACTGCATGAAATGTTTTTAAATTATGAACGTGCATTCTTAGTATTGTGCATTTTATTTTTATAGAATTAAAATAATAAATAATATGCATTACATAAATCTTAACATTCTGGGTATTCTATTTAGTAAGTGGTTTTCAGAATTCTGACAAAATTTATGTGCATTTGAAATTTGAAATAGAATGTTCTGAAATGATATGGTGAGCAATCAGAGGCTTCCATATTACATTTGATACAGTGGGCTCATGGAGGGAAATGGAGAATCGTGTCATTTATATGCTGGGAGCAAAGAGGTTAATTTGATGTGCTAATACTTTTGCCATATTTGGTCAACTTTTCTTGTGTAATTAGTTTTCTCCTGTTGTCATTGTCATTGGAAAACATAACTCATTGATTACTTTAAGGTATAAAATATTTTGGTGTTGCATTAGTGGATAGTATCTCATAGTCTTCATTGAGTTAGGGAGTGACTGTTTTAGAGAATATTATAATATTACATATATTATAGTTATCAATATCTATATTCTTAAAAACAGTGGTCCCTTTTAGCATTTCAAGGGGGCTGATCTGTAGGATGTAGATGCCATGAGAAGGTTCTTTATATCTAATATTTTAAAGTTACCTTATTTGGTAACAAATGCCATAAATATTCTTTGTGCAGTTTTTACATATAACCACAGTAAAGGTTTTGTTTTCTGCTGAGTAGTTCATAAAATTTAAAAAAAAAAAAAAGAAAAAAGAAAAGAAGTTCTATAGTTGTATAAACAATGATCTCAATTTCAGCTGTAGCATTAAAATTTGCTGGTTGTTAGGTATTTCATGAAGCAAACTTGTAATTAAGTAGTATAGAGCATATAATGCTTAGTTAATTCATACCATAATGATTTTAGATTGTTTATATGCATCTAGTTTGCTCAGTTATTTTATGCTATGTCTGTTGTAATTATAATTTTTCTCTCTTTAGATGTCCAGTTGGATTTGCAGGAGAAGATTGTTCTGTCAATATTGATGAATGTAGCAGCAATCCTTGCCTTAATGGCACATGCATTGATGGCATAGGTGCTTATGCGTGCCATTGTCCAGAGGGTTTGACAGGAAAACTATGTGAAGCTGACATAGATGAATGTCTGAACTCTCCTTGTGCTCATGGTATTTGTCAAAACATGTTTGGAAGTTATTTGTGTTACTGCACCCCTGGATATACTGGCACACATTGTGATATAGAATTTAATGAATGTCTTTCAATGCCTTGTAAAAATAACGCAACATGTAATGACCTTGTTAACAACTATAGCTGCACATGTACACCTGGCTTTGCTGGTCGAAACTGTGAAGTAGACGTAAATGAATGTGTTTCAGACCCATGCCGAAATGGAGGTACCTGCAGTGATCTAATCAACAGATATGAATGTTCTTGTATTCCAGGATTTTCTGGACAAAATTGTGAGATTAATATAGATGAATGTGCCCCACATCCTTGTCTAAATGGAGGGATTTGTATAGACCAAATTAATAAGTAAGTAGCAATTTTTTTTAAACTAATAAGCCCTCGATTCTCTAAATCAAATAATGCTTTAAATTAAAATGACCAGCAAACATACCTATATCCTGTCTGAAGTTCAACCCTTTTTTTCAATCCCCAATGAGCTGTGAGGGTTCCCCCCCCCTTCCTCTTATGTGTTAATGTTAATTCATGTGCACACAGAGATAACTAAACTTTTTTGATTGCTTAATGCTGATGTTAACTCGGGGGAAACATGGAGCGAATTTAAAAATTTTGACTGCTCAATGGTCTCTCCTGGGTTGTTTTTGATTACTCTCATTTTTTAAAACGTCACACACTGATCAGCTGAGTATGTCCCTACAACACTCTTTTTTTTTTCTTCCACCTTTATGAATCATTTTAACTACAATGTTGATGTCAGTTGGAAAAAATAACTAAAGTAGGCAGCTCATTAATCTCATAATATCTCAAAACAAGCATCAAAACAGTTTTCAGAATGTAAATCATAAAATTAGATCATAATAATAAGGCTTATAGCATCTTAGACTGTATTGTTGAAATTTTAAAATTCACAGCTTTAAATATATAAAAATAACATCTTACCTGTTTACCAAAATATGCATTTTAAAATTTCAGGATTCTGTTTCAAATTGTTTTACAAATTATTTGCATTATCAGCTTTAATAAAGAATAACTAAATTAAACATTTTGATATTTTCCAGTGTTAAGTACTGAGTTTGTATTTTTTTGTGTTAACAGTTCATATAAATTTTGAGAATAAAGATGCAAGAAAAGCAAATTAACCAAAAATTGTGAACCTTTTTTACAATTCCAAACAGTAACAATTTTTAGAGGTGAAGCTATCCAGATATCTTCATCAGTTTGCATGCCAAATATAAAGAGTACAGCAAATATAAAAGAAAGGTATGACAGCACTGAACACTCTATAAATTTAAACACTGATCAGCTGAATTAATCAACACCCATATATTTTTTTTCCTCTTTGCCTTTTGTAATATAAGATGCTCAGATTATAAAATGAAATAATTTGCACCGTAATACAGTATAATTAGAGTTTTGTTATTGCATTTCAATCATTCATACTTTTAATGCATTATATGTTGACACATTTCACATACACTGCTGGATAATTGCTAGGATGAAAAACACTATCACCCATAGCAACTACAAAATCAAAGGAAGCAAAATGTGAAAGGTTAGAATAAATGCTGGGTACAGATAGAAGACGTGTACATATGCAAATTTTTGTTTCCTTGCCTGTGTATCACATGATAGTGCTGATAAAAGATCTTAAAGAGTTTGATGCATGTAGTAAGTGATTGTAATAAGTGAAAATTTTACAGGAAAGAATTAATTCATAATTTTGAGGGTTTTAGTAAGTCTTCCTGATATCACTTATATTATTTTGTATGTGGCTGTATCATTGGAAAGATCGAAGAAGGGCAGAAAATAACAAATGTTGCCAGGCCGTTCAATATCAGTCACAGCATTGTTTTATGGTTGTGGAAAGCATTTTAAACAAGCCAGTGCCTCGAAGAAAGCCATATTAAATATGCAATGCCTTTACAAGAAAGGTATGTTGGCCTGTCAGCAAAACAAAATTACTGCACCAGAGCTCAGCAGTGGCAAGTGGGTTTCTTGCTATCACAGCACAGCAGATCTCGCAAAAATCATAACCAGACATTTAAGCTAAGGAGGACTATATGCTCACAGACCTGCTGTATGTATCTCATTATTCAGACAGCACTTTGCTGCCCTTTTGCACTGGTATTGTGAGCATTGCAGTTGGACTGAAACGTGAGCTTATATAGCATTCTCAGATGAGAATATGTTTAGTCAGCCATTACATTGTAGACATCAACTGATCTGGCATGATAGTGGTACTGCTTATTGTCCAGAAAATATCCAGGAAAAGACCGATATCCAAAATGCAATATCATGTTATAGGCCAGCATCATGATCAGTGGCCACACATCCTTTCATTTGTTGCAAGTAGAATTATGATTTTTCAACAATATATTGATAAAGTTCTGCTGTCTCATATTCACCTTTTCCTGGTGCTTATAGTATTAATTTTTTTTTCATCGATAACAGCATACCTTGTCATTAAACACTAGCTGTTTAGGATTATTTAGACAGCTAAAATAATCGGTCTTAAATGGCCAACACAGTCTCCAGGTTTAAACCCCACTGAAAATGTTTGGGATTCTCTGTGAAATTGACTTGCTGGTCAAAAATATCCTCCAATGAACTAGAACACACTCGTCTGTGTACTGACATATCAATGGGATCAATTGCCTCGGCAGCTGGATGATAATTTTGTGCAAAGTATGACATGATGTGTGAAAAGTTGCATCACATTTCATGATGGAAATATCCTTAACTGACACCTTTCTGAAAGGTGCCTGCTGTCGTTCATATGCATTTTTCCATTTCTTCATACACAGCATCAAAAAAACACTTTTTACTTTTGGAAGTTTCAAAACCTTCTGTATTTTTCTGAACAATAAATGTCCTTTATACTATTGTCCAAACTATGTGGCAACAATATTTTATACTGCTTAGCTTCCACTCTGTTCAATGTTATGCTGCACTGCAATTTGAAATCTGTCTTTAGCAATTGTCCATCAGTGCTATTTTCTCAAATAATGGTCAAATCTAGATGCAACAATATCATGTGAAATGAATTAAATGGTTGCAAAGTACTTGGTGGTCGGAAAAATTTTTATCTGAGGCAAAAAGATAAACACACACTTGTCCCAGTGTGCAGTACAGTATTAAACATATTGCGTATGTATTATTAAACCTATTGTACACTTTTGTATAATTGTAAGTAATTGTAAAGTAACTATTGTTCTCATAATATTACAGTTATTAGAGCTATTACCGTTCATGTATTACCATTAATACTTTGTGAAATTTGGCATGGTTTTTTAGAAGGAAAGGACTGATGACTTACAGCTGCAAAGAATTAGTACATATATTTGGGTTCTTGTCTTGGGTAATCACAATTCATCTTGTAACAAAACACATTTAATGAAGCATTAATACATATACAACATTGTTTATCTCTTAATACATATAAAACTTCTTAATATGATATCGTTAATCTATTAATACATACAAAACTTCTTAATATGATGTTTAATTGTGGTTCATCCCACTTTCATAAAGCAAAGTGGCAAGAGTTCCATCAATTTCCCTCGTGCAGTAAACAGTTAAAAATTAGCTACCTCACGAGAAAAATGTTAGGCTATGGAGTTAAAAATCCCACATTCAGCCTTCCTACTGTACGTTGACCTCAACAACATTATTCTACTCTTGACATCATAAATCATTGGTCATCTTACATCATCATTGTTTTTGGTAAAAGGAACCATCATCATGAATAAACCAAAATCTGAAAGTTAAAAGAAGTAAGATGGGACGGTGCTAAAAACAATATTGAAAGGAAACATCTTAACTGACCTTCATCCTTGCAACAATAGCATCATCAACTGTCCCGTGTGTATTTCAAAAATCTTCATCTAAAACGAAAAACTCCAATTTTAACACTTTTGGAAAACTTTATTTCATCTTAAAATAAATTAGCTGAAATAATATTAGGTATAAGGTCACAGTTCGGTTATCAATTGTATCAATCCAGCTTTAACTTCATGATCTGTATTATTCAATACATCTTCTTCTGCAGGGGTAAATTATTTTATGTATTCAGCGCATATATGATTGATTTTCTTCTGTTACAACATAAGTGTCATTATTTATTTTGACAATCTTATATTGGCATTAATATACTGATTTTAACTTAAGGTTTGGTTCAAATTTTGTTCTTTTGATTGCTACTAAGTCATTAATTTTATAACATTTTGGAGAACATTTTTTTGAAAGTTGTATGTTTTCTTATTTTCTTTTGGCACCTTAAATATTTAGTTTTCCGCATCTTTTTTAAGTTCTCAGTAATTTTCAAAATTATTTTGAATTTTTGCATCGATTATTTCTTCAACTTTAATATTTTCTGTTCAAGAAGTATAATCGGTATCTGCTTGAAAAGTGGAAGCATTCCGTTTACCAAATCCAGATTTAAAATTAAGAGATGATTTTGCTTTAGGAAATCTTGTTTCTGAAATTGAAGGTTCAAAGGAAAATTTACACCTCTTATATGACCTTGCCTTAGGTTTAGGTGATTCATAAGCTGAAGTCGCACTAAATGGTGTTGGAAAAGCAGCCCACAAGTCTCCATAATATTCCCAATCATTACCATTAAGAGTTTCTCTCAGCTAACAAAATTTTTAATCAGTGATACACATTTTTCATTCCAATTCTGCTTATTTAGCAAATAATGTCCTCTCCATCATTCTTCTCATGTGATCTTTTACTAAAGATAGCTTTTCTTGCATTTTCAATTTAACATGTTGAACTTATTTTTCTTGCTCAGAGAGGATTTTATCTTTGGTATTCATCTGAAATTTTGCAGCTTCTACTTCATTCTTGACTTCTGATAGTTGTTTCTGTTGTTCTGATTCAGAAAGTTTTCTTTCCAAAGATCTAACCTGTTGTTCACGAACATCCAAATCCATTTGTAAAATAGTTTTTTCCTGTTTCAGTTGGACACTTTCTTTACCTATAATTGGTAAATATGTGGGTCTCGAAGAAATAGGTTGGTCAGCTTTTAAAATAACAAGCATTTCAATATTTGTAGTTTTTCCTTTGGCTTGTCTTCCTTTAAATTCCAGAATCCAGTTCCTTAGCTAGAAGTTTCTCTTGCTGTTTACTCTTTTTTATTGTTGATATTTCTGTTTCATCAGCATTATATTCAACCAGTTTCTCAGATTCTGAATTCTTTTCTTTTAGCCCTGAAGTAGTTTTTTGTAGAATCATTAATTTTTTCATTACTGTCTTTAATTTCCTAAGCTTTCTTATGTGGATTTTTTCTTCTTCCTTTAGAAAGAGAATTCATCCCTTCCTGTACATTTTGCAATTTTCATTTTCCATCTTTAACATCATTTTTTTCCCTTCCTGAGACTCATTTTCCTTTAATTCTCCTTTAATTCATCTTCAACAGCGTCTATTTCTTCTATAGGGTTTTCAGATTTATTAGGAATATAATTTTCAATTAAGCACTTTGTTTTTGACCTGTATGCTCTATTAATATCTAAACAATTATCTAACTCATCTTCTTGATCTACATTTATATACCTTAAATTTTAGTCATTTTTTCTACTCTTTTCATAGATATACCATTCTTGTTTATAATAATTTCCATTTGTGAAAGCATTTCATTTCCGATAATAGCATTTTCTTTCATTTTTTCCTGAGATACAACATAAGTATTTGATTTAATTTCACAATCATCAATTTGTATGGAACCTTTAAAGTAACCAATAGGTTTTATTTTATTATTACCAAAGCCTACTAGAATCAAATCAGAAGAATTAATACCAGGTGAACCAATTACTTTATAAATATTTTCCAGTATTGTATTTATATCACTTCCTGTATCAATAAGAGCTTTTACGTCTTTATTTTCTATCAATACAATTTTATGCATATCATTTAACTGCTTATTTACAAATATTTAATTCACTTCGGCAAGATCTTTTATATTTGTCTTATTTTTTATACATTCTGCAGCTACATGCCCAAATAAATTGCAACGAAAGTATCTTTTCCCCCTCACTCTTATTTTTGCAGAAATTCTCCATATGACCAAGATTTCCACTGTTATAGCAACAAATATTTGTTTTTATTTTACTTTCAAAACGGTCACCTCTGGTTTTAGAATTAGGCTTAAAGGCTTTATTTTTATCGTTATCTAATTAAATTTTTTCTTATATCTTTAAGTTCTTACTGAAACTCTGCCAAACTTTTACTACCATAAAGAATAGCTTTATTAAATGTAGAATCATTTATACCTTTAATAACATATTCAATTAAAGCAGCATTTTCAATATTAACTATGTAACATAGATTTTAATTACCAAAAAGTATTCATATAGAGATTCTTTTTCCTGCGTTTTACATGTAAAAAAAATTGGCATGTCATTTCAGAAAAAGTCAGATTTTGTGTCAAAATACCTATATTAGAACAATGCTATATATAAATCTAATACATATCCTAAGTCACGCTTTCGAGACATGGAAAACACAAAATGAGTTTCGTTAATCGGCCAAGGTTGAACAGAAGATATAGAACATGGTCTTCCCCCCCAGCAGTGTACATTATATGAGACAATTTCCTGTAAAAGACATCCTTTCCATTACCATTCCTGTAGAAAACCTTTCATGGAAGATTCTCAAAATAGATCAGTCTTTGCTTGTATTTTACTGTAATAAACCCATTCACATTATGAGATTTCAAAATATGCTCCTTAATAAGCTTTAATTTTTTTTTCTCCTCCTAGGTTTACTTGTGATTGCTCCAATACTGGATTTTCTGGTACTCACTGTGAGCAAAATATAGATGAGTGTTCATCAAACCCCTGTCAGAATGGAGCCAGGTGTGAAGATATGATCAAGGATTATTACTGCCATTGTTATGAAGGATATAGAGGGAAAAACTGTGAAATTGATATAGAAGATTGTGCTTCATATCCATGCTTAAATAGTGCTCTTTGCTTAGAAAATTCTAATCAAACTTTATATGAAATGAATTATCTTGGTTTTTATCCATCATTTTCATATGAAAATGCAGCTGGTTACCGATGTATCTGTTCTCCTGGATTTACTGGAGAAAACTGTGAAACTAATATAGATGATTGTGAATTTAATAAATGTCAGAATGGTGCTTGCATTGATAGAATAAATCATTATGATTGTGCTTGTCGTGCTGGATTTGATGGTCAATATTGTGAAAGAGATATCAATGAATGTCAGATATTAGAACCATGTCAGAATGGAGCTACATGTATTGATCATAAAGGGGACTATGAATGCAAGTGCTTACCAAATTATGGTGGAAAGAACTGTCAAACAGAGTTATTAGGATGCATTGATATTCATTGTGAGAATGGTGCTACTTGTATACCAATTTTAGATGACAATGGTAATCATAATTATGAATGTTTGTGTGCTCAAGGTTTTTATGGTGAATTTTGTGAAATAGTAACTACAATTTCTTTTAAATCAAGAGATTACATGCAAGTTACTTCATACAATGAGATACAAAATGCCTTCAACCTGGAATTCCACTTTCGCACAACTCTTTCAAATGGTCTTTTAAGCACAGGTCTTGTATCAAATATAATGTTGCAGTATTTATTATATTTATGGGATGGCATGATTAAAGTCGATATTTATAAAGATAATATTCATGTTGCTGAACTTTTTTCTAAAAGTAACCAGAATGACTCTTTTTGGAAATCAGTTAGGCTTGAGTTTGAACCAACCAAAGTATCCTTAAATGTGAGTGATTGGGTTGTTCATAAAATGCTCAACTTTTCTTCTTTGAATTTCACTGTACAATTTGGAGCATACCAGAATTCTGTGCTTGCTGTTCAGCCAAATACAAAAGATTTTATTGGTTGTGTTCAAGATATATATATAAATAAAGATATAATTATTCCAAAACAGAATGGTTTACTTTTTGGTGCTACAGAAGGTTGCTTTAGGAAAGAACAGTGTGAAGGTTCTCCTTGTCACAGTGGCTTTTGCCAAGATAATTGGCTGAGTTATGAATGTATTTGTTCAAGACCATATTTTGGAGTTACCTGTCAGTATAGTAAGTATTGCCTATTTTATTTTGATTTTTTAGTTTTTAATCTCAGAACAATTTAAGTTTTCTGTAGTAGAAATCATTATTATTAAATTCTTCATTCAGGTGATATGGGATTTTTAAATTGTACTTTGTAATATGTAAAAAAAGACTTGAAATTTAAAATTTTTATATGGATTTTTAATTAATAATTTTGCTGTCATTAAAATATTCCATTTTTATCTTTTGCTAAGTTTTTCCACTTTAGTTATTTTTTGGATTATGGTGCATGTTTAAAGTAACTTTTTGCAACTGTCAAATAGAACACTGCCAACTTAAAATGTAAACGAAGTATTAGTAAAAATCCATAAAGAAAAAAAATATTTTTATCGAAAATTTTTTGTTCGCTCATCAGTAACATTAACATGTGCAGGTAAAAAGTACAGGTAACATTGACAGGTGCAGATAGAAATTACAGGTAAAATTAACAGGTGCAGGTGGAAAGTAAAGGTAATATTAACAGGTAGAAGCTAAGTGAGCACCTCTGTAGTGCCACTGATGATTGAGGTATTGCTGTACCTAATTAACAGAAAATCTTCTGTTCCAGTTTGGAATATTGATGAAGAGAATTATTGGAGTCTGAGGGTAACCCACCTCTCTTCCCATATCACACCCTCTCGAGGGGATATTGGCTTATTGTATATTTAAGCCCTGTTCACAAGAGCAGGTTCGACCGGTAGCGAAAACCGGTTCTTCCAACGTGTCCCGTTCACATGAAACAAGCATTAACTGCCTCACCGAATTGGAGGTAGAACTTGGTTGAATGTTCCTTACCTCTCAGGAGCAGGGCAAATGGGGAGATTTCCCGTCCTATACTGCGCGGTTCACTTAATTTTAGTTACTGCTCGCTGGACTGTCAGCGAAACAATCGCGCTGATAGATAGCATCCCCCCAAAAATTAGATAGAACTGTGCAAGATACACAAATTATAGACAAATACAGACAAGGTTATCTGATGCTAGGTATTCCAGAAACATCGTTCAAATTAAAACTAAAGTTAAGACAAGTGCATATCGGCTTTAACGCGACAAGGGACTCTATCTTTTGAATTATTTTTTTTTAATTTAAGAATTTTCATGTACTTTTTATGAATATTATTAAATGGTTTTGTGAAATAAAACAATTTTAAGCTGAAAAAAAGTTTTTGCTAGTATTTTTTTTAATTTAAATTTTTGAAGAAAAATTTTACAATTGAAATTTGTCTTTCTTCTCCTACAATTTTCAATGTCTCCCCCCAGTTTTTTATTGTATTTATTAGAGTGTTCTTAATAACTTCAAAGAATGATTTTGAAATTAATGAATTAGTTTTTGAGGGAAAAAAATACGCTCTTATCTAAAATCTTTAAAACAAATATGATCTGTCACATTTTCATTTCAAATAATTTTTTCCTTTCAGTATTTTGCAAAACCCATCCTTGTTTCTACATATATAATTTTAAATAAGCAGTAAAAATAATTTTAAAAAAATTAGTCCATACCTGTATATGTTTTAGGACTTTAAGTAAAAGGATTTATTGAAAAAAAATGCAAAAGGTTTCTCAGTTTGCATTTGCAGTTTAAAGAATACAAGTCTAAATAGACATTTAAGGGTTTCAAATCTTTAAAATTTTATTACTGAATTTCAGTACACATATATATATTTATATATATATAAATCGAACCTAGTGCTATTTATTTAATTGGTAAATATAAACATAAATGACAAACCTTTTTTTAAAACCTTATGTGGCCAGAAAAATTGCAAAAACTCATAAAACGCAAGCAGAATTTTTCTTTTACCTGTTTTTTGTTTTGTAAAACCCATTCAAAACAATTTAATACATTAATTAATTATAATATTGTTGCGTGCGTACGGGTTTGTAATAGATTGATAATAGTTCGTAAATGATTGTCATTGCACTCAAATCCGATGATAGCTTAATTAAATTTATTTTATCAACAGAAACATTTCAAAGTTCTGGAATTTTCCACAGAAATACTCGTACAAGTGTTTAGAATATCACTAAGTATAATCAGTAGTTATGCTTCAATCTAATAAGAACGTTAAACACAACAGAATGCAAAACGCATCTTAAGAGAAAGTTAACTCAGAAATATCTCCAATCTAACGCTAAATTAACAATTGGCAACAATAACAACTTATCTAGCTTAAATAATGTCATAAAAATAGTATGGTATAATGAGATTATTACTTTGAAACCGATGTTTCGAATTGATGCCCAAGAAGAACCAATATTTTCCAGTCTCCCTCATTGCCCATCTTTCAAAAAAGTAAAAAAATGATCCAATTAATTTCCTGTATCATTTTCTTAAATGCGAAACGTTTGTTTTATAAGCTGTAAAAATGTCGGAAGTTTGTAACCAATATATTTTTAGATATGAAATTTTAAAATTAATGGGCGTCAAGAAGTCTAAAAATATGAATGATTTTTAAAAATTCTCCCAAAATATTTTTTTTAAAAATTACGCTAAAAATTTCATTTAATTTTTTTTTTCCTCCACAGTGTGTTATGGTGCAAACTATAATATTCTGAGATTCTCAGTTTATTTGTTAATATTTTCAAAAAATCGTTTCAACTTTAAATTTGAAAAAAAAATCTAGTCCTCTAAAAATCAGAAGTGTGACACCACATCCACAAGTAGTATGTTTGAGTACAAAGTTTGAGTTATATATCTTATCGGGAAGCAGTTTAAAAAATCCATGACCATCTTTTTAAAAATAGCGACAAGCACCAAAGTGAACTAAATAACAGCTTATAAATAATAAAATAATAATAATAATTAAAACACATATTTTTCAGGAAACCATTACGAAAGTTCAGGTACCAGTTGCGAAAGTCCAGATTACAAAAATTAAACACAGTAAACAATGTTAAAAATGTGTAAACAGTATTAGAAATCTGCCAATTTGGAGACGTGATTGTTCACAGAGGCTTAGGTGTAAAGGGGAAGGAAGACGGTGGTCTTCTGAACGGGTCCTAAAGACGAAACTCTTTCATGTCTCCTTTTTCTCCCCTTGCTAACGTCAGCTGTGCGAAGGAGCATTGCATGTGAACGGGGCTTTAGAGTACCCGCTTGTTGCAGAAACAATATATCTTTATTAACATCCATGCTTTCTTTAGGATTCCTTCAGTGCCTTCAGCCCAGCCCTTTCGGTGCAACTATCAGTGTCACTAACCACTATCCCATCTACACAACAGCATCATTAACATCATTCTGTAAATGATGTTTAAAATACTAATAGCAATGAAATTAAGACTGCTTTGTAGGAAGTGCATGAAATTGCTTATTGCAGTTTGGAAAAATTACTTAAAATGTAGTGTTTAAGAATTTCATCAGTGTTATGCAAATAAATTACCCTTCAAGTGGAAGGGGATGTATGCGTAGTTGGATTATCTGTTCATATGGACCCATAAATAGAAATATATATCTCTAGCAAGCATGTTTCAAATAATTCAAGTTATTTTTCACAAAATGATTAACTTTTTTTTATTATTATTATTAAGATCAAGTATAAGGTATTTCTCCCATCTTCTTAGTGTGGTGTAGTGGTCTGCATACTCGGCGCATATTCGAAAGGTCTGTTGTTCAATTCCTGGCAAGGGCATTGCTCATTTTTCAAATGACCTGCTTCCAAAAGAATCCTAATGGCTCTACAGTGGGGCCCGAGCTAAAAGGGTGGTGGATGATGTTTCTCCACACCCAGAATTTGGCGATTGGGTCCCCTAAATCCCAGTCGCCCTTTAAAAGGGGGAGTATATAAGGTATTTCTCCTGCCTTTGTAGTGTAGTGGTCTGTACTCTGGATGCGTATTCCATAGGTCCGTGATTCATTCCCGGCGAGGGCATTGCTCATTTTTCAAGTCTTCTGCTTCCAATTAACCTAATGTCTCTACAAAAGTATGCTCATTGTTTTTACTGAAAATGTTTTGAGATACCCAAGTATATAAATATTTTCCAAATAAACAGAAAGAGCTACTGTGTCCAAAGTCAATCATGATGCTTGTGTTATATAACCCTTTTTTATTTGTTAGCATTGTAAGATTTTTATGAGGTGAAATCATAGTAAAATTAGTCATGTGGCTCACCACTGGCTAAGGGATAAAAACATAAATATACATAAATAGTTCAATACAAGTTGAAATACTCACAAACGATATGATTGCAAGGAAATTTTCATGGTTTATCTCATTTGTAGCATAAATATTAGTTTCTATTAGAAAATGCTGCATGCCAGCATACCTTTTTTAAGGATAGCCATGCTCTTTCATAATCCAGTTTAAAATTAGTCCTAAATTTATTACTGAAGCCCATTCTCTTCTGTAAATTGCTGTAATATTTTCTGTAGCTATGCAGGATTTATCTGAAAAGTAACATTCCACTTCGAATATGTCATATGCCAGTCATGCAGTTTTAATTAGGTAAAAAAAATTAAATTTTCAGGACATACATGAACAATGACTGCAACCATATGGTTACTTAAACAAAGGAGAGACGCTATCAAGTAAGAATTTGTACTACATTAGCATGACATTCACAACTGCAGCATCAGATCAACAAATCTGCATCTTTTTGTTTTAACATGGTTGTAAGAAATTATTCCAATGATTAAAAAGACATTCAAAGATATTATTATGAATGAAGACAAAATGTAATTATTTCACTTCTTAATTTCAAGTTTGCAAATCTACTCACTTAATCATTGTGGATATGACAGTGATGTAATAGCATGCCACTTATGGCTAAATAGTTGTAAGGCAGAGTGCTTGATTACGAATGTTGAATGAAATCAATTTCTCTTAAATAATGATACACCAAGCCTGGTTTTCAAAGATTCAAAGTAGCTTGATACGAGAGCCATCCAGGAAGTAGATTACGTTTCCGTCTGTGTCCGCTAGGGGCGGGGCTAGCGCGGCCATCTTGGGGTCAGAGCGTTGCGCAGCTCAGTCTGCATCTAGCCGTGCTAGTGAGAGGTTCGTGCTGTGCTCCGTTCAGATACTGTGACGGTTTGAAATGTCTGCGTTAATTGAAAATCCCGCGAGCTGCGAGGTGCGCTCAGTAATAAGGTTTCTGACTGCAAAAAACTGTAAACCGATAGAAATCTATCGGCAGCTTCGTGAAGTGTATGGGGACAACATTATCACTGAAGGTGGAGTGCGTCAGTGGGTCATAAGATTTCAAAATGGCCGACGAACCAATGTTCACGACGAAGATCGAAGTGGGAGACCCAGCATAGTGACCGCCGAACTTCTCGAAAAAGTCGATGCTAAAGTCCGTGAAAATCGAAATTTCACAATAACGGAACTTTCTTTGAGTTTTCCACAAATTTCGCGAAGTTTGTTGCACGAAATCATCAGCGAAAAGCTTGGTTACCACAAGTTTTTGTGCAAGATGGATTCCAAAAATCTTGACAGAGGACCACAAAAATCAGCGAATGGCTGCAGCGTTGAACTTTTTGGACGCTTACCATAACGATGGTGACTCTTTACTCGATCGCATCGTTACTGGTGACGAAACATGGGTGAAACATGTGAACTGTGAAACGAAATTGCAATCAATGCAGTGGGGGCACACAAGTTCTCCCCAAAAACCCAAGAAATGCATGCAAACAATGTCGGCAAGGAAGATGATGGCGACTGTTTTTTGGGACAGAAAAGGTGTAATTTTGGTGGACTTCCTGGAAAGAGTCACTACAATAAACTCTCAAAGGTATTGCCAAACTCTCCAAAAACTCAGAAGAGCAATTCAAAACAAGCGCAGAGGAATGTTGAGCTCTAAGATCTTGTTGATTCACAACAACGCCCGGCCCCACACGGCAAATGGTCACTCGTAAAGTTCTTGAATCTTTTAAGTGGGAGTTGTTTTTCCTCATCCGCCGTACAGTCCCGACCTGGCAACCGAGCGACTTCCACCTATTCCCAGCAATGAAGAAGTGGCTGGCTATGCAGCGTTTTGATGGCGACGCACAGCTGCAAGAAGAGGTAACGAAGTGGTTGAAGGCGCAGGCGGCCGAATTTTTCGACGAAGGAATTTCCAAGCTCGTACATCGCTACGATAAATGCCTTAATTTGTATGGTGACTATGTAGAAAAGTAGTATTTGAGTGTGGCTTTCATCTGTATATAATAAAATTTGTTTCCTATACTTTGTTTATTTTTTTTATTCCAAAACGTAATCTACTTTCTGGATAGCCCTCGTATATTTGCTAGATAGATACTTGTACATTATTTCAAACAAATTATGCTTGGCATATTTGGCATAGCAAAATGCTCATGCTAAACTTATTTTGGCAGCGTTATATGTATATAAATTAAGATGTTTGCGTTGCTGTGTGAGAGTACTTCAGCCTTGTATTACAGCTTAAAGACGGTTATTACATGTAACAAAAAATTCAGAAATATATTATGAAAAGTGCCACAATTAAAATTTGTAGCATTATAGTAGTAATGCTGAAGTGCTTGACTTTCACATCACATATCAAAATGTAAAATGCACCAAAAATCAAATTTACATCAAATGAATAAAGATGGATTTCTAAAGATAATAGATGTAAATAAGAGAGTTTTTATAACCTTTCCATCAGTATCGCATGTAATCATCACTAGTATCTTTTCTTCAACCAAGTTCATACTATTATAAATGCCATATTCATAATATCATAGGTGTCAAAATATTTCCCATACCAAAAGCAATCACACCTTTTATTATATTAGCAATACATCTCTGGCAATATAGTTCAATACAATATAGTTCAGCAATTACATCTCTGGCTGAATGAAATACAAAATAAAGATATAAATTACCTCCACTTTACTTTCTTTCAGAAATACTATCCATAAAAAAAATTCTTTTAAAATTTAAGTCTTTATAGTGTAATGTTCTGAAAATTAAATTGTTTATAATTTAATATTTTAATATTATTTATCAAATTACATAATAAGTTTACATGGAAAAAGTGTAAATCTCAAGATAATATCTTTAAATTTTATTGTTGAATTGACAATTCTGGCAACATTTATTGATCTTGTACTGTAATCCAAGTAATCGGTCCTTTTTTTCTTTGAAAAAAGGAGAGTTTAGATATCATTGTATATTTTCTGTATTTTAGGTTATGAAGCTGCAACATTTGGATATCGAAATGAAAAATCAAGTGCACAGCTACTTATTGCTGATAATGATCAAGTTCTTCCATATGATGACATAGATGTTTCCTTTTTTATGAGAACTAGGAATGAATCTGGATTAATCTTCTATATTGGTTCTAGCATAAATGGTGCAAGCAATTGCACTACTGACAAAAATATAAATGACACTTTCATGCTGGCTAGATTGTATTTAGGCTATTTGCAAGTCATCCTTAAACAACAGAATGGAGATATTAAAACTTTAACACATATGGAGAAAATAGATAATGGCAATAATTACTTCATACAAGTGAGAAAATTTAAGTTTTTTTTTTTTTTTTTTTTTTTTTTTTTTTTTTTTTGTGTGTGTGTGTGTGTGTGTGTGTGTGTCAAATCCTTTATCTTTCCCACATTATAGTTGAGTACATGATAAAATACTTAAAAGTATGTTGAGAAAGCTAATAAAATGAAAATAACGTACTCCTGGTTTCTAGATACTTCTATTCATTGTTTTAGAGATTATGTACAGTATTTAAACAATTGATGCAATTTAATTAATTTCAACCTGAAACTTTTCTGGATATGGATTATTTATGTTTCAAGTAATGTTATGTTATTTTCTAAGTTTTCACACTTTGCTTCAGTTTCAAAAGACTAAAATTGTGAAACCAACTACAACCCCCTTGACTCGAAGTTACACTGGCTTCTGTTCCACGCTGTCTGAAATCTCCAATACTTAAATGTACCGCTTTCATTGTTAAACTGCGTATTTATAAAAAATATATAAATTATGATGCAAATTGATGTAAATGATAAATATTTTCGATATTAAGTGTTAACCCTCTGGCTGATCATCTCACGATTTCCACGGGCAACTCATGTGGCAAAATTTGCTCATCCTGCAATTTCCGCGGGCATATGTTTTTCTTCCTTTATTGAGGAGCACATCCCGTTTAACCATTGAAATAAATTATATACAGTATTAGGTGTTTACGTTTTGGCCAACAGATATCGTTAGATGTCCACGTGCCTTCAAATGCCGCAATTGTCCACGTGCCTTCAAATGCCACAATTTATTGCGACATTTGAAGGCACGTGGTATTAGCGCTCAAACTTCACTTTTCGCCTCTTTTTTCTTACAGAAATAGCTGCTAGAAAATGTTCAGCAATTATCTTGATTATTTAATTAAATTATTGAATTGTTGATTAGAGTAATAATTAGATTGTGATTATTAATTAGATTTATTGAATCTGGTGCAAAGATTATGAAGTTTGAACTCTATCATACTAAACTGCATTTTTAAGGTATTTTTCCCTCGGTGCTTTATATTTTCTTAAATTTTTTACATTTTACTTTTTTATATTATGCAATAAATAGAAATTAACTGTAATTCGACTGAAATTTATTTTAAAGATTTTTTTTTTTTTTTTTTTTTTTTTTTTTTTTTTTGTGATAACATCTGAAATTGGTTTTTCTGGCAACTTAGTTTCTCATGATAAAAATCTATATAAAAAACATTTTCTAGAAAGAAAAAGTGCATTTTTCAATTCTCCTATATATATATATATATTTAAAATATGAAAAAAAAATTGGAAGCGATTTTGGTCCACAAATTGAGCAGTCAGAGGGTTAAATGAGGATAACATCATATAATTTATTCAAGACAAAAAAGAAATGAAGGAAAATACGAACTGTAGTGGCAATAATGAATGCAGCCCTCAAATGCCAAACCTTTTTATGAAGTGGCAAGACAATTTCAATTCAGTCCAACTTCTGTACTCAGAAAGAAGTTGTTATATGGTTGCATGCAGAAAAGTCTTAAAAAATTCTCCATTTTTCCCAAATTGATAATTAAAAATCATAATTAAGCTATTGTATTGCCAATCTAGTTATCTGAACTTCTACCCATCCATACATCCATCATAATAGTTTCAGATAACCAGCATTTTACTGTAAAATTAAAAAGTTATGTAAGAAATTTTTGTTGAATTATTATAATCTATTAGCCACCGAATGCATCATTTGAATGCATTCATTAGTGAATTCTGCTGTTCTTTAAAAGTACATGAAAAGAAAGTATATAAAAATGAATAAATATAAACTTTTAAAGGTCAGTTTATTCTTGCTGATTATCAGTGGCCAAATAGTTACATTACTGAACCCTGATAATTTTATTCTGCTTCAAATCTCAAAATCCCAGACTGGCTGTATGCAAGTTTCCTTTTTTTTTTTTTTTTTTTTTTTTTTCGAAGTGTAATGTAAATATTAACCAGTCTTCTATAGAAAGCTCCCTGTGAAGGTGTCCCTTCCCATAGGTAGGTAGCCTTCGAGTACTTCTCCATAATCTAAATAATATATCTTCATTCATTACTGTTAACAGATATGGGTATAAATGGATGGGACATAGAATTTTACTGTAAGTTGTACAGGTATAGTCCCACTGCACTAACTATACTGCTTCATCCCAGTTTTGAGGGGAAACACCTAGGAAAGTAGTCCGAGGATCTCCACTAACCACTCAAGAGAACTTTTGCTTGCCATGTATTTTAATGGCTCCTTGTTGCACAGACACTATATGCTTACAAACATCCATGACTTCTCCAGGATTCAAACCAGAGCTCATTGGTATAGCAGACTAATCAAACTATATCATATCACTAATACTAAATACTATATCATCTAGGTGACCAGTTAACAAATTTCCATTAGCAGAAGCGTTTCTACCATATTATCATTAAAAATGTATTCTTGGCTGAAATGTATCTTTTCTTAGTAATTTCAGGTTTGCTTTGTCCAGAATGTACTTGATTTATTAATCATAATTATTGTAACACAAAGAAAAGTTAATAGGAAAAAGTAACAAATGATAAAGAGAAAAATCAGATTTTTTTTTTTTTTTTTTTTTTTTTACTTGCTAAGACAGCTTTGATATAGTTATTCAATACATATATATTGGAATAACATGTAATAAACTAATAACCCATAATCATGCTTTACTGTTTAAATTTGGCAAGCTTCTATGTTATCTGAATTTATATGTTTTATTATCTTGCAAGGTATACAAAAAGGAAAACATTGTGGTCATTTTAATATCGGAATATACTTGGAATATATATTGTAAAAGTGTATTTTACAAAATGAGTGGTTCAGCTGTGTAGCATTATAAAAGTTGTGTACATACAATATTTTTTACCTCTTCCAAAATGTGAAAATTACCAAAGAGCAGTTTATGTTTCAGTGGACTAAAAGTCTTTTCATATAATTTTGTAGATAGGTATGATAATTAGTGTACTTTTCAGTATTTTCTTTTAACTTGGTTTTCATATCAAAAATTATAAATATTTCTTTTTGGAATACAGTGTGTTAAATATGAGTAATGTTATTTAACAATTAGCTGCTGCTTCTGTAGATATGATTCCTGAAACATCTTGTAGCTATCATAGCAAAAGGAGAATTCTTTCTGTTTGGTAAGCAGTGTGTTAATATGAATTATGTAATTTAACAATTAGCTGCTGCTTCTGTGGATGTGACTCTAGAAATATCTTTTACCCAAAATTCTTAAGGGAACTTGACTGAAGGATTGCATATAGACCTGTATGAAAACTAAATATAGAAATAACTTCTCATTTTAACAAAGAATCCTTGCTAATTGAAAATTTGTGTAAGTATCCTAAATTGAATAACCTGAAAACTAGACTGTCTGATCAGTTCCATAATAGGAATAAACAACATTATCAACCTATTTGAAAAAGTTGGAACATTCTTTTTAAGTTTTGGCAAAAACAGTAATAATTTGATATCTGGCAGTGCTATACTTCTTTGGAAACAATCGTAAAGTTTGAGCTTGAAGGTATCTATATGAAACACTATTAGTTTAACTTGTTTTCTACTACTTAGGTTTTTATAGACCATGTAACTGAAATTGTACTAATGAAAAGACACATTTACCAAGCTCCTGGTGTCCTACTCAAATTTTGTGTATGTGTGCATGCCCGTCCGTCTATCCATCAGGTTTCATAAAATCTGTAGCTTTAATAAATTTTTGTATTGGTTTTCTCATTTGCATTTTTCCTTTTGTCTTTTAATAAATCTTTCTATTGGATCCATTAATAATGATCATTACTAGCAAGTATTCTCTTAATGCTGCTAAAGCATGCCATAGGCAGCTTAGACAGAATACTTGCAGATGAATCATGCATTATCTTTTACTCAAATTTGACACTGATACATGTTTTACTTGAATCTCTTTCCCCACCCACTGCGACCGAGCTGTAAAGACGCTAAACACTGGTTGTTCGATCCGATGTTCGAATCCCACGAACGGGCTGGCTGCATGGGCATTTTCGTGTTTTTCCCCATGTTTAACGAGTATACGAGCCAGTTTCCCATAGAAAGTCCTCCACAAAGGCATCCCTCCCTTTAGGCAGATAGCCCTCATGTGCTTTGCCATAACTGAATAATCCAATCCACTCCTGCCCTCCCCCCACTCCTTCAAACTAGAAAGGTGTTAATACTTTGTAATTAAAAAAATTTATTAATAATTTTATTGTAATTTTTTTATTTATTTTAATATATGTTTAATGAATGCTTCCTTGGCAGGTTCTGAAAAACAGTTCCATGCTGCTAATTAAGGCAAATGAATCAGTACTGACTGTGCCTGTTTCAAGTTCTCATATTTGTACTGAAGCTCTGTATATGGCTAGTTTTCCTTCACTCAGTAGACACACAAGACAGACAAACTCACCCCATTTTAGACATGAAATTGAGACAGTACATTTGGAGGACATTACCTTCTTCAAAGGGATACTTCAAGATTTTAGAGTGAGTATAGTTCTTTAGTCTTGATTGAATATAATATGAAAATTGTTTAGATTCAAATGCAACAAAAGACTAACAAGCAAGTCTGGATATGCATTTTTAGTGTATAAGTTGATCTAAAAAGTATCTCAACTAATTATAATAAATTATATGAATTGCTGTTATCTTTAAGTCATTAACTATTTTGCAGCATGAGTGTGTATATGTGCCTTGTTTGCTTAGTCATATCTATAGAACATATATATGTGTTCTTAGTTAAAAGTATCTGTGATTAGTGCATCATAGCATAAATGCATTATTATTGTTCATACTAGAAGTGAAAATAACTAATTTTAAGAGAAGATATAATCGATTCTGATGGCGCTGAACTTCAGATGATGACTCTTTTTTTTTTTTTTTTTTAAAGCTTTTACATTCTTTAACTTTCCCTAGTATTATGTATGGTGGCCAGACTGGTGACTAATTACCATCTACTAGCTAAATGTAGTAGATGGTATTTAGGTGGTATATATATATGTGGGGAATTTTCATAATGCAATGATTAGTGTATTTGGCTGGCCTAAGGGCTGTTCATCAGCTGACTAGCCAGATTTCAACTCCAGGTTTGGCCATAATGATTTTTTCAAAATTTTTTGTTTCTTAAACCCTTTAGTTTCTGTAAGAGTAAAAACTGCTCACAAATTTGAGCAGAAATACATCATCTACAGTATTTCTTGGAATTCTGCTTATCCAGTCAATAGCTCAAATTAGATAGCAGTATGTCCTTTATCACTCACATTGTTAAATGAAGGTTTTCAGTAATCTTCTGTCTCCTTTTAGATGGTTGTGCTATTTGGAGTTTAAATGTAATGTTTTGGGTGCAGCTGGAATTCTCCCCTTCAAATTAACTCAACTAGTAAATGTTTCTAGGAAAATTTGCTTGTTTCTTCCTGTATTTGCAATCTGATAATAAACAGACAATAGATTTTTTTTAATTTTATAATTGTTCATATATCACTAAAATATTTCTTATTTGAGTTTCATAAAAATGAAATTAAGTCTGTTTTAAAATCTCTATTGTAAATGGGTTATAAATAAAAGAAATCAAATTTTGTAACTGAATGTTAAATTTTTCTTTAAATTTTTTAATTAATAGATTTGATACCAATTGCTAATTCACTTATATCTATGCTTAGTGGAGTGATAGCAGTACTAAATTTCTTTATCTTAGCTTTATGACATCATAAGGTTATACAGACATTCCCCGTCATAAAACCACCTGGATATAGAATCACCTTGCTTATAGTGTCACGTTTTTAAAATTCTGGGCTCATTTTAATGACAAGTTATACCATCATATCTGAAATATCAGCATCACTGAATTGGTTCACTGCAATGCATTTTTCTTGAGAATTTTTGGTATTTTTAGGAAATTGTCCTGTTAGTGAAACCATTGATAACAGTTCCACTTTTTCATTTTCCCCTTTATCTGCCTAACTTCCCTTATAAAACAGGGGGTATGAAGGTAGAAAGATATAGAAACAAAATATTGTTTTAGAAAGGATTTTAGAATCCAGACATTGCATCTGACTCAAAATAAATTGTATTTCATATACTTAATGAACGTAAGCATACAATTTTCCTCTTTCTAAATTGGTTTAATATCTTTGAAAGCAAACCTGTTATATTCAAATGGTAATCTCTGTAGGAAAATAGTGAATCTAAATTAGGACATCTAAATCATTTAGGCTTTCGAAGATTTCCTGTAGCAGCTTCTAATGATACCACAAATTATTTCATAATTATTATAAGGTATTTTCTTCCTCCTTTCTACATACCATTGTGGTCTAATTGAAGCATTATATATTATACACTCCAAATAATCTGTTTTTCAAGTAACCACCATATGAAACATATTACACTGCTGGTTGTTAAAATTGCTTCACCGTGAAGATAGCATGCACATGATTAGTATTCCAGGTACGAGTGCCACCATTTCCACAGTGTATAAGATTGCACAATAGGTTTCTTATTTGTAATTACATTTGAACATGGATTGTTTGTGTAAGCAGTGTGTTATGCCTTGTGTAAGGAGAAACACCTGCCAGCATATGTTAGAATTTGACCGCTGTAGGATCATCGCCTGTCAGGAACATGATTTATTGTTCCACGACATGTTTGTCTGGATGCCATGATTGTTGGAGGAATATGGAATCAATAGTCATGCTGAATGCCATGCAGTATCTCAGCAGTCCCAGGCTACTAATTCCAGAGAGAAAAAAGATGTTGTTCTATTGCCCTTGTGGAGTCATAAAGCCATATCACATACCTTAAGTCATTAAGTTGCCTTATGTGCAGGACAACAAGTATCCTCACAAACAATGCAGTCTGCAGCACCATGGACACAGCACAGTGACCATTGCTGTTGCTTGCCTTGGTATTGTAGCAGGGATAGGCATAGGCATACCTACAATGGTGCAACGAGTGAAGACACTGGATTCAGACGAATCCTGGTTTGGCATACAGCATCATGATGGACATATTTGTGTGTGGAGACACCGAGGGGAATGAACGTTGTCAACCTGTATTCATAACCATCATATGAACCTATCACTTGACATGCTGGTATGGGGCTGCCACCTATCCTGGTTACCTCTTGTTCACGTAACCAGTAATGTGGAATGCTGCCACTACATTTCTGATGTATGGTTATGCCCATTTCTTTGAGGAATGGGTAATGGGATCTTTTAACAAGATAATGCAAGTTCATTTGCTTTCTGTGCTGACCTGACTTCTCAATACAGAGAGTGCTTGGGCAGGACATTTTGTAGATCCTGTGTACCCACTGAGAACACCTGATCATGTGTTGCCAAGAGACTGGCACTCTATAATTCACCAGCAACTATGATGATGAACTCTGGCATAAAGCTGCATAAAATGAAGTACCCTTATCTGTGATTCATGTTCAGTTTGGCTTCATACCCAGCTGTTGCTGCCAAAAGTAGCAGCTCTGTGTACTAAATTCTGCATGCTTTGTATCCCAAACCATCTGCAGATTAAACCATGTCTTCCTACCATGATATGTACGCTGTGCAAAAAAAAAAAAGGGGGACAGCTCTATAACTCCCGTTCTATTGGGCCAATTGACAGAATTCAAACTGCGTTGTTCATGTCCCGAAAGCACGACTTATTATATATATATTAGATTTATATATAGCTTGTTCTAACATAGGTACTTTGACACAAAATCATACTTTTTCTGAAATAACATGCCAATTTTTCTCCGTATTTCGATTCTACGACTCAAATTATGCCTAGATATTAAATTTTGTAAAATTTGGTGCAAAATTTTCAGTTTGCTCCAAGAATAATTCACTTCGCAAACCTCTTAATATGTGGCAACCAATTTTCCTTTCCCTTCCATTATGCTGGAGTGGAAAAAAAGGCACCTCGTTCCTAATTTTTTACATTGTGCATGAGCGAAAAAACAGTTACTGCGTTTCTACTTCCAAATAATTTTAGCAAAGTGTCTAAACCACATTTGATGTTTTATCACTTTCAACAGATATGCTAATATATAAATTCACGTATATCTTCGGAAATCTTGAAGGAAAAAACTGTAATTTTTTGCAAGTTTGCTTAGAAATACGCCTACTTTTTAGGTGATGGTAAAAATTTTATAGATTATAATTCAATTTTTTTTTTTTTTTTAAATTAAAAAAAAAATTATTTAAAAGTAAATCATAAAAAATGAGCGAGTTTTTATTTGGGACGAACCTAAATTTCAAAATGTGAAAGGAAGAATCAAATAAGTTTAATAAAAAAGAGAGATTAATAAATATATACCAAACTCAATTAACATTGAGGAGCTAATTTTTAAAAAACTACTCATGCGATTTTTGCAAAATTTGGCAGTTTGGCATAATTTGAGTTGTAGAATCGAAATATGGAAAAAAATTGGTATGTTATTTCAGAAAAAGTCCGATTTTGTGTCAAAATACCTATATTAGAACAATGCTATATCTAAATCTAATACATATCCTAAGTCGCGCTTTCGAGACATAAAAAACGCAAGTTGATCATTGTCGATCGGCCCAGTAGAACGGGAGATATAGAACTGTTCCCCCCCCTCGCAGTGTGCAATCAATAAGGTTCTGCTGTTCACTTTCCTTCCTGGTGTAGAAATTTTAATGGACAATAGTATACTTCTGGATGTGGAAATTGCACTGTAATTGCTGTTAGCTGTGTATTGACAATTGAAAATTTTATTTTGAAGTTTAAATTAAATACATAATTTACTGCTACTTTGGAAGAATGAAAAATTTTTGCAGGAAGTTTTTTACATGTGAATCCCTTGTTATTACTTCTTAATATTAATTATTTCCCTTGCAGATCAATAACAAGGAAGTTGTGTTTTATGAGCTGAATGCACAAGGAGATCAATTTCCCGAAATATTAGGACAGGTAGAGTTGTCAGAAAATGTGAAAAAAGGTGTAGTTAGTGATGATCCATGCAATATTCTGAATCCATGTCTTCATGAATCTGTGTGCACAGATGTATGGAATGATTATATGTAAGTTATGAAAATCGTTGCTTATTACTGTGTGTAATGTCCTCCTCTGTACTTATCTTGTAGTTATTTTATACTTTTGATTAAAATTTCCTTTGTTAAAGATTGTAATATCTTATTTAACATGTTAAGCTCTGCGCCGAATTTGCTGTCCTTTCCATTCAGCCGGCGCGAGCGATCAAAGGGTGCAACGTTGCAGGGTGATCCTTGACTTTATGTGCTGAGTAGAGCTTATCTGTTGGTGAGCTTTGTAGGCTACCAACATACAAGCCCTGCCTGAGCATGACAAAGCTCGTGGTCATGAATGTTAATACTGTTGGCAACCAGCCAAACAAAAATTCCAGTGCAGGTCTCCAGGGACATGTGTCAGCCAAACAAAAATTCCAAGGGACCAGCACCCGGCTCAACGTGTTAAGCAGTGTAACAAATCTAAATATTTATTTTTATCTCCATACTTGTAATAGAAAATTTTTATGCTGTATTAATTTTGATCTTCTATATTTATAAATAACATAAACACAGTATCAAACTAGAGTAAATGAACTTTTTGTAATTGATTGAAATAATCACTAACACATTTTTAGTCTTCCGCAATATAAATTTGATATTTCCAATTTGTATTTTGTAGCTATATTCTTTACTGAATTTTCTGTAGTAGAAAATTATAAGCCGAAACAAAAGATTTGGAATCAGACTAAAATTGCATTAGTTGATATAATGGCATGATTAACTCACTCAGTTAATTTAGCCATTCACATCATAATGGCTTAGTAAATTCAATGAAAAATAGAATTATCAAAAATTTTCAGGAAATGTATCATTAGCAATATCTTTTATTTTTTGTATATTTTTTTTAATATGACTTAAATTCTTCTGTATATGAAACTTTTAAAAACATTGAAATAGAAGCTATAAAATTGAAATTGAACATTTATGCTTTATTATGGATTTAAAGGTACAATATCTGATTAGTCTATTAACAAAATAAATATGAGTATAAAGATGACAGGTCTAAAATTTTGCGATTTTATTCTGTTACATACTTTTTTAAGCTGGACTGTGTATCCGAGTTTGACATTTTTAAGCTAGATTATGTATCCCCTAAGAAATTTAAACTCTGTATTTTACTTGAATTTATATTTGGAGCTACCAAAGTTAAGTTTTCTGCGTTTTTGATTTTTTTGTGCTGTTAAAAAATTATATAATAGGAAGAATCCATTATAAACTATTACTTTTCTTAAAGAAGCAAATATACGAGGGCTGTCTGAAAAGTTCCTGACCTCGATATATAGATGGCAGCTCAAATCATCTAAAGTGGAGAGGGACTTGTTTGGGCATCACTTGATAACTACCAATCAAAATTTCAGCTATTTTGTATGTGAATTTTTTGTTTGACAATTACTTTTCTGAGTTGATGTAACCGATTTTGCAAAAATGGAAAAAAAAATCAAGTATCATGCTGTCATTAGATACTTGTTTTTGAAAGGTAATGTGCCTACTCAGATTAAAGAGGAGTTGGACACAGTGTATGGAGACTCTGCACCATCATTTACTACTGAGAAATTTTGGGCAGCTGAATTTAAACATAGCAATAAAAATATCTGCAAACATGTATGTTGTCTCAATATCTGGCAGTGATCTTGCATGATCTTGTACATCAGATTTTATGTTTTACTGCTGCATCAGTTTTGAAAAAGTTAACTTTATATCTTATTTCACTGCTCACAAAATTCCAATATCCATTGGCTGATTGACGGATGTACAGTTTGGGGAATAGTTGCCCAAATGGTATAGTGGTTAGGGGAGCCTACTGTGGTACCAAAGGGCCCGGGTTCAAATCCCAGAGAAGGCATGTGATTATAATTGTCCGTTCCTTCATAGGATGCAACGCTGGCTGCCTGTTAGGTGCCTCCACAATAAAATGGCCAATGCTAAATAGGCAAGTGCCTGCCATTAGATTTTTTAAAAATAATAATAATAAAAAAGAAGAAGGTTTAGAGGACAGAGTAAAATAGAAGCATTGTTATTTACTAAAACTGTAATACTGATAATTTTATTGTTATTGCTCATAGTGCAATTTCTTAACCAGCAGGTGTTTTATTTGAAAGTGACATATGTAAATTTCAGTTAGTGGGGGGAAAATGACTTTTATGACATCCCTGCTTTTTCTCATGTATTTTTTTAGGTATTTCTTGAATATTTCATACTTTCTAAAAGAAGAAAAGAATTCTAATAGTCCAGAAGTCCAGATTTGAGAGTTTACGCTGTATAATTATTAGGTATTGCTTGGTGTGAGAAACTTAATTATGTTCCACTCTGGCATTCATTATAGAAATTGTTTGTTATGTGTGAGGCTGTTTCCCAGGGTCACAATGGAAACAATTTTTATCCATTTATGAGTGGGTAAATGCTTGCAAAATATCATAAAAAATCTCAAGATATTAAAAAACTTTCAATAAAATTGCTGTGTTTTTGTTGTATATTTGAAGATGCAAACAACAGTAACTAATCCATGCATGCTTGTACCACATATACTTTTTGGTATTTATGGACTTACATGATGTAATTTTAATTGAACAAATTTCATGTTCCTTATAAAATGCTTCTTTTTATTTTTATTTAAAAGCTGAGCAGTATCTGTGAGCTGTAAAGATAACCAAACAAGTGTCTTTTGTCCAGTTCACAAAGTCACCAGTAAGTGGGCATCTTTTTATAGGGATGTGGATAGTAAAAAAATTGCCTAAAATTCTGTCAATGTTGGAGATGTTAGAACTTTATTAATTTACTAGTTATTAAAGAATTTACATACTCTGTATGCATGCAGTGTGATTTTTTTTTCTTCTTCCCATATAGTTTAATATTTGTATTCTCAGTTTTCTACTGGAGTTAAGGAGACAGTTGTTTCTGATTTTCGTTTATATCTGCATTTATTTTTTTAGCAAGTCCAGACTTTATGATTTATCTAAAGGGGTTGTTTCTTACTTTAAGATAGTCCTGAGGTAGTACCTGGCATTGTCATTATACAGATTAACTGCTTATATGAGCTTATTCTTATGCTTAACTGTGACTGGACCTCATCCCATTTCTAATTAAATAAGTTGTTCATGTTTTGTGAAAGGCCTAACTGCGAAGAAGTAAGTAAACATGAATTCTCTGTGTTCTCTTCCTCCTTGCCAGAAGAAATTTCATTCTAGGCTTTCTCATATTTCTGGTCTAGAAGGGCTTGTTATTTACTGTGGTAATATATATAATAAGAAATATGTTTATCTGACCTCTTCTGTATTCATTATCTTTATTAATAGACCATTGCTGATAAAACAGAATAACATGTAGTTTGTTATGAAAGATATCTTTTCAATGGTTTCAGTTATTCACCATGTGAAGCCTCATTGTGTTTTTTAATATATATTACCTTAAAATATTTCTTTTGTTACAATATTCAGTTTATCTCATATTTATATTTTTCTTTCAGTTGTATTTGTCCTGATGACTACCGAGGAAAGAACTGTGAAGAGCGAAAGCCATGTGCAGAAAATGCTTGCCCTAGCATATCTGAATGTAGGAATCTTGAAAAGGGCTATGAATGTAAGTTTTATTCATTCTTGAAACTAAAAGAAATATATTGTTGTTATCTAAACTTTTGTTTTAATTTTAATACATACATATATATATATATATTTTTTATAGGTGTTGCAAGTGCAGCTTTTAATGGAAAACAAAGTGGTATCCATTATCAAGTGCAGAATGTGACCAGCAGTATAACAAATATAACATTCTCATTCCGATCCATCACGAATGGTACAATATTATGGTTAGAGGGAAATCAAAAGTCTGGACCAAACCATTTCCTGCACGTTGAAATTGTTTCAGACACATTGAATGTAAATTGGGATTTGGGTCCATCCTATGAGAATCCTCACAAAACTGTTAGTGAAAAGATTGATGTAGGAAGAGGAGAATGGCATCAAGTAGAAATATGGTTTGATGGCAGTTTGGTGCACTTGAAAGTTTCTGGCAATCCTGAAAACTTAGCAGAAGAAAATTATTCAGATGGTTTGAGAGAACTTTTAAATGAAGGGGCAGATGTGTATATGGGATACAAACCTGGAGCTGAGACCCAGTTTCAGGGCTGCCTTGATGATGTTCGCATTGGCGGGATTTTGCTTTCATTTTTTAATGAATCCTTCTCCCCCAGTTTAAGTAATCCTTTTAAGATCATTGAAAAAAATGTTGAATTAGGATGCATACTTTGTTGGGATGAAGACTGTATTCACGGAACTTGCCAGAACAAAACAGATTCTTATAACTGTGATTGCTTTAATGGCTATGAAGGTCAGTATTGTGAGGAAGATTTGTGTTCTACACGAAATCCTTGTGAAAACTCGGGTTCATGCTATCATGATATTATAGATGGAAGTTTACAGTGTTCTTGTCCTAAAGACTTTACTGGTGCAACGTAAGTTAGTTTTGTAACTGATTTATTTTTATGTTAATCTTAGATCATGCATAGATGTAAAACATGCAATGCTGTTATTTGTTTAAAAAAAAAAAAAAATTTGGAAAGATGTCTATAATGGTTTTATTTCTTTTTAATGATATCAAGTTGCCTTTATATTAACTTAAGGTATTTGTGTTTTATTATTATTATTATTTTAAATGTGGAGCATTGAGAAACTAAAGAAAAATCAAAATACATTCCTTGAAAGATGGTCGAGAAAATATTCTGACAGTATTGTCCATGATAAAGTTTCATTTTTAAAATAGATAGCGAATAGTGTTTGTAGAACTTTATACCAAAAAAATGAATTATTAAAATGTATCATATTTAACTAGGCATGTTATATCATTTTAAATATGATCCATACATATGGATGCACTTGATATGAAATGAACAACGAAACTGTTAAAAATGTGTTTATTGCAAGCAATATTCAAGTCAGATCATGACATTTTATCTTATGAGCTTAACACAAACTGCTTATGTCACTATGAAATTTCTTGTAAACAGCAATGCAAGTGAAAATTACAGTAGACTTTAAACACAGCAGAATGATTAAATTTAATACCATTACAACATCTAATAGTGCAAATGCTTTAAAGATAATTCTACATCAAAAACAGATAATTCTAACTAGAGTAGCTTGCTTCCTAGTGCAGTTGTTCGAATACTTATTGATAAAATGCTTGATCTTTGATCATCAGTGAATGCTAATGTGTCATCAACTTGCGGAATATATGCATCTATCTGTAGAAACCATAAATGCAGTCATTCATGATGAATATCTTCAATTTCAGGAGATTTCAATTTCAGCATATTGTATTCAAAAACAATCATCTGCTTGTCTAACAAAGAAGATAACATATGTATAGAGCAATTAAGAAATGTTTTGATTTATAAAATCCTTTTTCTTGATCAAATTGTCATCTGTGATGAAACGTTGGTGCATCATTTCACAACAGTGTCAAAACATGCATCAAAGTAAAAAAAAAAGCAATTGGACTTATCCATTCTTAAAACTTCTGAGCAAATGTGTATGCAAACAAAGTGTTTGATGTATTTTGGAATAAAAATCATCATTCATTTGGATTTTCTATTGTGTGACATCTGCATCAATAATAATATGCTTGTCTTAACGTGTTACGTCTGTCGATACTACTCGGACTGGGTCCCAACTGAGAGGCCCCCATATTAGGCAGGAGGTGAGCAGTGAGTCAAATTTCCCCAAAAGAATTGTGGTTGACGATTGCTACCATGCTAGAACTTCCAATTTGATCAAAAAAAAAAAAAGGAATTTATAAATCATTTCTTAATTGCTCTATACATGTGTTATCTTCTTTGTTAGACAAGCAGATGATTGTTTTTGAATACAATATGCAACAATCTCCTGAAATTGAAGGTATTCATCGTGAATGACTGCATTTATGGTTTCTACAGATAGATGCATATATTCCGCAAGTTGATGACACATTAGCATTCACTGATGATCAAAGGTCAAACATTTTAAACTGAAGCAGACTTTAAAAAATTTTCTTTATAACCACTGTGCTCTCCCCACACGCAAGGAGTTGCTACGTCCAGATATCACAGTGGTAGTGTGAGCATGTAGAGATCTGACTGGTCACTGAAAATGCTATCCCCCCCAGTACTCTGCAGAAAACCTGGAGCCGTACTGGTTTTACAGAGGGCTTACTCCAACCCACCCAGACTGAGCCAATGAAGTTTCATCTCAAAGTATCTCCCAACTGGGCAAATAAAATCGCCAGGCTCATGATTTTATATCCCCGTGGCTGAGGCTGCCAAGGTACAGATCTGAGCCAGTCCTTCACAGGTTTTCCTGTGTCGAACCCAGGGTAGTATCTGCCTCAGTAGTGGTTACTGCTGTCAGATTCTCAAAAAACATACATATCATTTACATATCATTCTCAATACACAACTTACTTAAATCACTAAAGACATGTCGTTTCTGCAAGGCTGTGCTTGTCTGAAAGTTACTACAGTACAAAGTCTGAAATCCAGACGTCCATTATCCAGAATGATCTAAAATCCTGACCTCAAAACCACCACCACCGTGTTTTTTTTTTTTTTTTTTTTTTTTTTTGTTCTTTACGCAGCACATTTGATCCTCCCTCCACACATAATAAAACATCTGGAGAGTCCTGATTCTTAATTTCACTTCGACACTAAATAAAATACCTTGTTATTGAAGAAACAATCATTTTAGCATAAATTTGTACAATCAGTAATTTGGTTCCATTGCTCTGTATCTGCTTGGCACACATCTCAAACCGAAACATTCCATATAGATACATCGTTGATCTGACACCAACCTGGCAAATCATTATTTATTATACTTTCCTTTCATCACTGCATGTTTATCAACACATGACATCTTGAGTAGTGACTCATATAACAATGCCTAAATTTTTTTTTTTTTTTTTTTTTTTTTTTTTATGTTAGGAATTAAATAATAATAAAGGAGTATGGTAACCTTTTATGTTGACATTACGCTTGGCAATGATTACAGATTTAAGTTAAATGCGCTAAAAATGTTGACGAGGAAAATTATACCAAAAATTTCTTTCCATATGCTAAAAATAGATTTTGTTGATGATACTCATAGATCCAAAGATTACATTTAGGGCTATTTGAATTAAGAATAACTGATTTGTTATTCAGATAAACCCAGAATCAGCGCCAGGGCTCGTATGACCGCACTGAGTCACTGAATTTAGGACCCACAGAGACTGCAACAGGTGGTCACTTTATTCAGAACTCTGATAAGCCTTAAGCATGTGCGAGAAATAGATGTAAGTGTAATAAATAACTAATACAATTCAGGCTTAATAGTCTCAGAACATAATAAAAACAAGATAAAATTTAATGGAAAAACTTGTTATTAGTCTCCAAGCTCATGATGCATAGCCAAATATGTATAGTGAAAGAAATTTGATGATGATAGCCGCTAATTTTAAAGGTTTTCGGATATCGCAAAAATAAAGTAAAATTTTCCAGTTAACGCAGTTTGTAAAGAAATGTGGAGAAGCGATAATAAATGAAAATGATATAAAATAAGTTTTCCATTGTGATTACAATGCTTCTCATTCATCAATCAATTAATAAATGGCAAAATCTGTAGTATGGTTCTGGACCCAGAAAATATCACTACTGATAGTGAAGAAAGTGACAGAGAAGTTACTGAAAACAAAAAAATTTCGATTGACAAGTTAGTCGGAATTCTTGACTCAGCAATTACAGGATTTCAATAATGTAACTGAACAAGAAATTATGTCTGTCTACTGAATTAAACAGAAAGTATTAGCACAAAAAATGAAGCAACTTAACAACTTACAATGAAAGAAATGTTTAATAAGGTAAACAAATAAATATTAAGCTTTTTTTTTTTTTTTTTTTTTTTTGTAAAATTTGATACCCTTTAGATCATAAATACTTCATTATTTCATAAATCACGATTTCTTATTTTTAATTTTATAATTTCTACATGCCATCTTACTAGATTTAAGCTGATGATCTAATATCCACAAAAAATACCAAATCCGGAATTGGCGAAGTCCTGACAAGTTCAGATTTCGGACTTTGTACTGTATGATACACTTTTTATAGTCCAGATATTGTTTTGAGGTATTTTCACCTTTTTTAACCATCAAAGGGAGCAGGCAGTCTAAGCCCCTTGGATTTAAAAAGTCTTTTTACTCTGTTGATATGCAAGCTCTCATGCAGCACTACGATACATGCAGTAACATAAAGAGGTATTTCATCTAGAAATAAAAGTCATCTCCAGCCATCTGTATGTGATCTAATTTGAGAAATTAAAAGCCTCATTATGACTTTTAACTTTGACTGGTATATGCATATGATAAGAGATTTATTTATATATATGGTCAAGAGATTCACTTGACAAAGAATTCCTTTGTATTCTTTGGTGTAAGGTTAAGCATTTTTTATTTTTTAGTTGCTTTGCTTGACTTTGCTTAAATCCAAATTTGCATGTTTCTCTTCCATCTCTTAGCAAACAAATGCTTATGTAATGCCTTCATTTTCGTGAAATACTCCTTTCACACACATTTGTATATTTATGAAATGATCAAAGAAAGTAACATTTCTCTTAGCTGTTAAATAATATTTCAGTGTTAATTTGAATAATCCCTTTGCCTAAATATAATTTGAAAGTTATTAGCATAAAACAGATTTTGATCATAATGCTTTCATCGACTTAACCATACGCACACTATTATCTTCAATCTTGAGATAATTGTAGATTCAGATAAGTGATAAAATTTGTGATGAGTTTTTATATTTAACGTTATCAGCAATTTATATAAATATTTTAGAAAAACATATTTTTTGTGTTTTAGTAGTTTATAAGTAATAAAAGCTGTTTGACTTTTCTATTTTGCAGCTGTACTGATCCCAATCATTGTGAACCTGAGCCATGTTTCAATGGTGGAACCTGTGTTCCAGGAAATGGTACTTATAGTTGTAAGTGTCCTAGCAGCTATGAAGGTCCACAATGTAATTATACTGTAAGTAATTAAAGCTAATTTTTGCAATCTTTTTTATTATTCTACTGTAACCATATGCTGCATTCTCAAACTGAGTTTGCTATGAAAATGCTTTTGCTCAGTTGGTCTAAATTAATATATTATAAAACCTCTAATGACTAATGTAAGTTTCAAACTCAGCTGAAGGCACTTTGGGGGGAGTTTTTATTTTTATAACTTAAAGCAAAGAGTTCATTCACTGTTATGATTCAAGCCTTTATCTGAATTTTTATATGAATAAATTTAATAGAGAATAAGATTAGAAATGGTAAGTTCTACATTTTATGTTTAAATACAAAAGTGGAGTTAGTTAAGATTTTTATTCACTGATTGGCAGTTTTTTTTAAGCGGAGTATATTATTTAAATTATTGATACAAATACAGTTAAAACAAGTGAATTGATAACTGTACAAAGAAATCTTAATCCTAGACACGTTGATTAAGTTTTTATAACATTTTTTTTTTTTTTTTTTTATCTTGCAGAAAATTTTAGATTGTAATGCTGTTCAATGCGCACATGGCAGTTGTTTAAATATTGATATATCAGAAACAAAAAAGGTGAGTTCTTTTTTTAATTATACATGCTGAACATATGTTGTTATATCTAGTATGTATATATATGTGATAAAAGCACAATTTTGGAAGCACTGATGTAAGACCACTGAGATGTAGAAGCGTAGCAATGTTGTTTAGCATAGATACTTAATGCTTTTGTACTATATACAGTCAAAAGTCGTTAATCCGGACTCGTCGGGACTTCAGCGGTTCCGTATTATCGATTTTTCCGGATTATAGATCATCAGTTTAAATCTCATAAGATGGCATGCAGAAATTCTAAAATTAAAAATATGAAACCGTAATTTATGAAATAAAGAACAATTATAATCTAAAGGGTATTAAAATTTACAAAAAAAAAAAAAAAAAAAAGCTTAATATTTATTTGTTTACTTTATTAAACATTTCTTTCAATGTAAGTTGTTTTAAGTTGCTTCGTTTTATGTGATAATACTTTCTCTTTAATTCCATAAACAGACACAATTTCTTGTTCAGTTACAAAGTTCCGCTGTTCAAGTCCCGTTAATTGTTGTGCAGAGAATACCGACTAACTTGTGAATTGAAATTTTTTCGTTTTCACTAACCTCTCTCTGCACATTCTTCATGTCTTTATCCATTTTTTTTGCAGCAATTTCCACTTTTTGTTTGATGGACATTGAAACATACTTTCGTTTTGTACGATCCTTTGGGAGCTTCTCCAGAATCGGAAATTCTATTTGACATAATCGAAAGTTCAAGTTTACTTTTATAAAATTGCTCTTACAGTCTGCAAAAATAATAAGCCTGATCCAATTCGAAGATTAAGGAACAACGCAATCATCAACATTAACTGAAATAGATAATTAGATAATTTTAGATTATACCGTCCGTTATACATAAAACGCGCACACAAAAACGTATTCTGCGCTTGCGCACATGCATATGCGCAGTGGTAATATATATATATACACATGTATACAGTACAAAGTCCGTAATACAGACTGGTCGGGACTTCAGCGATTCCGGATTAGGGTTTTTTCTGGATTATAGATTATAAATTTAAATCTGGTAAGATGGCATGCAAAAATTATATGATTAAAAATATGAAACTGTAATTTATGAAATAAAGAGCAATTATGATCTAAAGGGTATCAAAATTTACAAAAAAAGCTTAATATTAATTTGTTTACTTTATTAAACATTTCTTTCAATGAAAGTTGTTTAAGTTGCTTCGTTTTTTGTGCTAATACTTTCTTTTTAATTCTATAAACAGACATAATTTCTTGTTCATTTACAAAGTTCCACTGTTCAAGTACTGAAATTGCTGTGTTGAGAATACCGACTAACTTGTCAATCGAAATTTTTTCGTTTACGTTTTGTCTCTGTCACTTTCTTCACCATCAAAAGTGCACAGGGGTAAATGCTTTATGCGCATGCGTAAGTTTGTGGCTTTGAGGTCCGGATTATAGATCATTCCGTGTAATGGACGTCTGGATTACAGACTTTGTACTGTATAAGCTTAAATTAGATTTAAAAAATCATGTAAAAGAATGTAAATATCATAGTTCATATGGTGCAAGATTTTTATATTGCTGGAATTGCACAAATATAGAAGGTGAAATAGTTTCATTAACACAAATTTCTCATGAAATGTAAAGTACTGTATTGATATTGAATTTCATTTTTACTCTGGCTTATGGAGAATATCATTTTCACCATTTCTTTATTCACTTCAGCTTTTAATTTTAACCTGTTCCCAGGCCCAAACACTCCCAAGAGTATTACATCAAGATGATTTTTCTCGTTAAGCCTAATTTCATTTAAAATTATTACTGCAGTTAAATACACTGAAATTTACAGTTTATTATCATTGATAGTATCTGACTATACTATAATAAAATTTTTTTTATATTAAAAAAAAATGTAAATTTTAAAGAAAATGGCTTCATTTTAATAAAAAAAAAAAAAAAACTTTTATGTATATTCACTGCTGAAAAAAAAATGGGCGCTTTCACGGCGCACAATGAACGTCACGGCGCACAATGAACTGGAAGTTGATCTGTGAGCACTATCCTTATCTTCAGGGCAGATGTTTTTATTTTATTCGGCTTATAATTCCTTACTAAATGTAGTATTTTATCTCGATGTACTCCGTCTTTGATATGATTTAAATCAAATTCCTCGTCATTATAAATATCACAAATACACATCAAATAGTTCTCTGGTTGCAATTTTCTAATTTCGACTATGCGTAATGTATGCTTTACGCATGCGCGCATTGAAAGAAATGTTTAATAAAGTAAACAAATAAATACTAAGCTCTTTTTTTTTTTTTTTTTGTAAATTTTGATACCCTTTAGATCATAATTGCTGTTTATTTCATAAATTACGGTTTCATATTTTTAATTTGTAATTTCTGCATGCCATCTTACCAGACTTAAACTGATGATCTATAATCCGGAATCGCCGAAGTCCCGACGAGTCCGGATTAAGGATTTTTGACTGTATTAGCTTAATTAGCTTTAAATCCTCAATTTTGTGTTCATTTCACTTTTGTTTCTAATCACTTTTCAAATAAAAGGATGCTACCAGCAAATCTTATCACTGTATTATTTTTAAAGAAATAATGTAGCAAATATAAAAAGAAATATATGGGAACACTTGATATTCTTTCAAGAATTTTAAAGATATGCTGCTTTTAAACATTCTGCGATTGTTAGATCGTTGATTCATGAATCCAAAACACTAAAACCGGAGTATGTATTACAACCTGTTTGATATTTTCAAATCAAAACATGAGAACGAATGTGTACATAAGTACATAGTCATCATTGTCCATGGTGCTGGAGTATAGAATAATAAAAATTGAGTAGTGTTTATAATTAACATTGAGCCACAAAGTTTATAAACAAATTATATTTTATTTAAAAAAGCTGAAAGATTGTGCGCAAGTTTTTCAAGAGACTGTACATTTTTCCGGATAAACTAGAAATCAGTACTTTCCAACACTTTCCTGTGAAACATTTTTTATATCTAAATAACTTTGGAATCTCTCTAGAAACGAATCAAACTGTTCTTCATGTTTATTATATTTAAAAATTACGCATCCATCGTTGCCTGCTATCGTGTATCCTTTTATGGGTTTTATGGGTGTATCCTTTTATCTCACAAGACACACTCTTTTAAACTAGATGCTACTTTTATTATAAATACAAAATATATCATCACTTGCATACACAGCTATTCGCGTTCCAGTCATTTTCTTATTACTGTGCGTGCTTCAATGCTTTGCGCTGTAGCTTTAAGTCCGATTATGATATACCACATCGATAGTTCTCGATATAACACACCCGCATGCTGCACAGACACTATACATTTACAAACATCTGTCTGTGCCTTCTCCAGTATTGGAACCTGGGTCCTTTGGCATGGCAGTCAGCGATGCTAACCATTACACTGGTTGGGCAGTAGAGCTGGAACTATAAATTTTATATGGCAACAAAAATGTAGCCCCTGTCCACTGGAATCTCTTTGTACGAAAGTGATAGAACATCAAAATCCCTTACCATTGGATTGATCATAATGGTTGGGATGGAAAAACTCTTTTTAGCTGGTCTCCACATTCACCTGACTCATGCCATGCAGTTTTTTTTTCCTTTAGGGCTTTATAAAAGATTATGTCTATGTGCCACTGCTACCTAATGATTTACCAGTGTTGAGACACAGAGTTAAAGAGGCTGTTGCTTCTATTACCTCGGACTTGTTAACCAAAATGTGGGAAGAATTGGACTGTAGGTGCACATATTGAACATTTGAAAAAAAACTAGATTAGTTTACCTTCAGTCTGTGCATATTTGTTGCAAGTAGTTAAATTAAATAGTAATAATATACCACTGGAACTGAGACATTCCTTTATGGACACCCTATATTGTCACCAGAATGGTAATAAAAAGAGAGACCATAGCTGATATTAAGATTCTCTTATTCAGATGGTTTTGTGAACATTGTGATACTACAGAAGTATATATCATATTATTCATAATACCCTTTGGGGTTTCAAAATTCTATAGTAAAAAAACTAATACAGCAGAATAAACCTTGCATTAATTACAGAAACAATTCAAGTTTTTTATAATAGCAGTTGGCAGTAGCTGGTTGTACCGCTCCAAACGAAAGCAGTAAGTGAATCAAAATGGTGTTCATGGATGAACAAAAAGCTTTTTGTTTGTTAGAATTTGGTAAATCGGAATCAGTGGTGTTGGTGGAGCAGGCATTTCATTCGAATATTGAACACAGAGATCCACTGACAGGACAATTCATGTGATATAACAAACTCAAAGAAACTGGATGCTTGTGTGATAAGCAACAAAGTGATCAGCCATATCCACCTGCAGAAACCATAAGTGACATACGGGAAATGTTTTTAGGAGCCCGGTGAAATCAGCTGTTTATGCAAATTGCATAGGAAGCCATACCAGTTGCAAATGATTCAAGTGCTGAGTTCAGGGGTTGCATTTCTCGAATGAACTTTTCTACTGATGTCCAAACTGATGATTGACTCTTACAGGAAATGACTTTTGGTGACAAATCCACCTTTCACTTGTCCAGCTCTACAACTTATGCTTTTGGGGCACTGAAAATCCTCATGCAGTAGTGGAACATCGTCATCCCCGAAAGTTAATTAGTGCTATACTATCTACTCATGTGCACATGAGGCTTTTTTTAATGAAGCATACTGTTATCGGTGTAGTGTACATGGATATGCTAAAATTGCGGTTATTGTTGCAGTTAGCTCAACATGAGTATGACAACTTTGTTTCTTGACAAGATGGAGCTCCACCACATTTTTTTGCAGGATGTGCATTAGTACCTTAACACACAATTTCTTCATCATTCAAGTGGGTGAGTTTTCGAATATGACATATCTCTTTTGCCATAGCCCCCATGTTCACTGGATTTAACACCATGTGACTTTTTCTTGTGGCGTTATGTAAAAGACCCTGTGTACCCCCTTTGCTATTTGA